TATGAAACGGAAACTTACAATGACTTCCTGATCATGATCGCCATCTTCCATCGTCATTTGCCGGATTTCGCTATCCGGTGATGCTGCCCTTGCCTTCGCCTTCGCCTTTCCTTTTCCCTTCGCCTTGGGCTTATCTTTGCTGATGTGAACTGTATCGCCATCAGTGTCGGTGTCTGTCAACAGTGGCTTCGACTTGGGGATAGCCTTCTGGCCCTCTTGACCTGATGTGGGGGACTCGCGCTGAATTGTCGTTTACATGGTTTTGATGGGCCTGCGATGGCACCAGATGTTGCATTGCCAGGAATGCGGATTGTGCTGGGAGCCGGTAGTACCGGGGCCGGTGGAGGGCCAGATGGAAGTGCTGGTGCGGAGGTAGGGGTTGTATGAGTGGGAGGAGGACCCAATGTCTTGGGGTATAATGGATGTCCTCGGCAAATGTCCTCATTGTTGCCAACGCGAGTCCAATCCGGGTACTTGCACCAATCGCGTGGCACCCCTCTGAGCTCTATGAATCTCAGCTGCCATAGAGAGTAGGCGAAGGGAGATGTAGGTAGCCGTCGTCCGGTAGGAGTGAATGGCATCATTCTAATAATATTAATGGACACAATACATAAAAAATGACAAATGCACCATTTGAGATGCAATGACTCTGCTCAACCTCATCCTCTCATCTTCTGACCGGGACCGGAGAACCTCTTCAACCATCTCATTCAACCTGCCAAGAAGGGCAATGAGTGCCTGGTTGGCAGTGGTGGCAGCAGCAGGACTAATGTTGGAAGACATATCAGCAGTAAGACACGACGGTAGCAGGTTGGCTTTCAAAGAGATCTGGAAGGGAATGAGGAAATTGAGAATTGAAAATTGCCGGATGTTTGGGTGATTTCGGATATTGCCGAATGAACAATTAATGTACCGGTTCTCTTTTCTCCGGAGTTGCCATGTGTCCTTGTGCGAATGCTATTGTCGCCACGGCATCGCTGAAAAATTCATGTGAGATTTAGACAACTCATTCAGCAGGAGGAAAAGAATTTCGTCCTCAGATTATTTACACCTATCTAGCGAGGCCAAGGTAATAATTAACTGCCTGTCCGGAAGGTGCCTCACATCATCCGGCAGTGTTTGACAAATTGGAACCGGGACGTGTGGACCAATCATACCACGACAGCCTTGGGATGAATCGCCCAAACATTGGCGACTGTAAGTTCTCTCATGCTGACCTATACACCTAATTATTGATGCCTTCTAGACCTAGATGTTGCATTGGCTCAGGACTGGTGGGAGGACAGCCGGTCATTAGACATGGGTTTCGACCAGTTCCCAAGTCAACCGGTGTCAGACCCATTGGATATGGGGTTCCCTCCTTCGTCCAATACCAACCAGTCATCAATTGCCACACCTATATCCGAGTTGGACATGAGATTTCCACCTGGCCATTCATCATTCAATACCAATGATTCCTGGACCCGGCGACCGGCTCTCCGAACTTCCTGGCAAACAATTGACTGGCCGGTGGCTCAGGTATGTTGGTTGAATCACTATGCAAGGAACAGAATTACTCATGATCATCATTCAGTCAATGATATTTCGGTGAAAGACAGCCCCTTTGGACATGGGTTTCAATTCACCTCCGGTTCACCACGGTCATCCGGATTTGGACATGGGCTTTCATTCACCGGTTCAACATAGTCATCCGGACCAAACACCTGTGGACATGGGCTTTGATTCACCGGTTCCACATCATGATCCGGACCAGATGTCTTTGGACATGGGCTTTGATTCACCTCCGGTTCAACATCATGATCCGGACCAGAGGTCTTTAGACATGGGTTTTGATTTGCCTGTGGTTCATGATTATCCGGACCAGAGGCCTTCCGGCATTGATCCGGTTGATATTCCGGATCAGGCAGGTGAGTTTTATCATTTTATTGAGTTACATTGTGTCATGTACATTCAGAACCGGAACCTATGGGATTTGTGATTCAGCGCGCTGAAGGTGACTTGCGCTTGGCAATACACTGGTTGGAGATGGAAAGGGCTCATGGTACAATGTCGCCGGAAGAAGCACTTGTCAGCGAGGAAGTTCTTCAGTCCACTAGTGAGTTATTGTTGGCATTTCAACTTATATCAATATACCGACTGTCGACATGACATCTATATATATACCATTGATACTTTCCAACCCCTTGTATAGTACATTCAATGAAATGTGATTATTACACTCTTTGCATGTAATTCACTTTATAAGACACCTTTGAAGCTCTAGTGGAGCGCTTTGGCTCGGGCTTATCAATGTGAGCTCTATCTGTTTGAGTTTTCTTACCAGTGCCCTGTGTTGTGGCAGGAGCCATTGATTTAGATGCAGGTATCTTCTGACCGGACTTCTGCTTCTGACCGGACTTCTTCAATCGACCGGCTGATGCAGGACCAACAAAGCTACTTCTCGATGCAGTTTTGGGAGGCAGTGGGGCTGTAGAATGATTGCTGGATGATTCTGCTGAAGGAGTGCCAGCATCATCCTGCAGTGGTATGTTGCGCCCAATGACATTTGATTTAGATTTCTTGACCGATGGGCCAGAATCTTCCTCCGAATGAAATTTGACTGCTCTGCTTCACTTTCCAATAGATTGACGCTCCAGGGGTGGTGATTGGACTTCAGCATCGCCTTCTTCATCCCCATTCTCATCCTCACCACTTGACTCCGGTTCCACTCTTTTGGTCGGCTTCCCAGATGACTTTCCGGTTGACTTGGCAGGTAGTTTTTTAACCGGAATGGATTGGACAGCTTTGCGAGGCTTTCCGGTCGATTTCAGCTTGGAAGGCGGTAATTGGGCTTCATCGTTTTCACCTTCACCTTCACCATCCTCGCCCTCACTGCTTGACTCTGGTTCCACCCTGTTGGTTGACTTGCCAGATGACTTTCCGGTCGACCTGCCGGTTGGTTTTTGAACCGGAACTCTAGTTCTTGATGTTACTGGACTGCATGTTGTGCTAGAGTCGCTCTCTGAGATCTTCTCCACCGGTTCCCTCATCTCCTTCTCATGGTCTTGCCAGCCTTTGAATTCAAATGTTGGCCGAACCTTGTCCTTTTGTCTCTGATGCCAGAACTGCAAGAGCCGGTCAGCTTCATGAAGCTGAAGCTTGGATGGGTCCTTGATCTTTCCACCGGTAGGTAAAAACTTGGGCTTGATGAAATTCTCTTGAGCCTCCATCACTGCAGACCAAGGAACAGATGCCTTTGGCTTCTGACTGCAAAACCCTGCAAAATAAGTCACTCCTTTATCAACCCTCCAGATATTCGATTTGTGAAACTTACTGTAGTGTTTTGTGAGGAATGTCTGGATAAGAGACTTTTTGTTTTCTAAGTTGAGTGGCTCAATATCCGGTATGACCGGAAGCCCATAGGCATCGACCTCTAAAGTGAACTCCTCCCTCTTTCTCCTTTGGTTTCTGCTCTCCTTGGCATCTCCATCCTCATTGCCATCGTCATCATCATTCCGGTCAATTGCTGGCATCACATGGTGTAAGTACTTGACCGGATGCATCAACATTGCACAAAAAGCTCACCAAACTCTTCTCCAACATAGGCATTCCACTCTGGTAACATGGACTTCCAGTCCTTTGTATTTGTGAAACTATTGCCATCTAACTTTTCATTGAAGTCAATTCTTATGACGAGATCAGGCCATCTTTACCGGTTGAGAGAATGAAAATGTCACTCACCCATTGATCCTCACTTCGCCTTCCTCGGTTTTCCATGCAGACAATATGAATATCCTCATACCAGCCTGCCTCCATAACTGAGTCGCAAGATCCTTCATCATACCAGGAGCTTTCTTCTGAGCGAACTCAGCCTGGACATCTGTAGGAGGAGCACTGCTAGACCATTCTATCTCAGTCTTATTTGCTTCCTCCAGCTGCTCTTCAGATAAACCGGCCATAATTGCATTGACCGCACCCTGGTAGAGTTTAATCATTTCCTTCCCTCCTGGCCTTGCTCCGGTCTTTTCAAAGATCTCCTTCTTGTACTGGTGTTCTATCACCAACCGGGTAGTCCATTTCTTACTGAACTTGCTTTGTTTTTTGAGTGTCTTTTCAGCTCTCCAGTTATATAACCAGTCCTGGTACATCTTCACCCATCATGAGCATTTATGAAATTAGAAGATGGGCTGCTTACAGATTTCCTTTTCTTCAACAGCCGGTCATCCATCTTAGGGGCTTGCATCTTGGCCTCTTTTATGACCACCTTCAAAATCATTTTCCTATCCTTACCAGTTGCTTCCTTCCATTCTTCTAAGTGAGATTGTAAGACCAGCAGCTCTTCCTCAGTCAATTTCTGCTTGGTCTTTTGGGGGCTGTGTACTGATGAGTTGGATCGGGCCATTGCAAAGCAGTTGAGGTCTTGGTAGAAGAAAGGATACAGTATAATCTTACATAGCCAATCGCCACCATGTATCCGATAGTAAACTGAACAAGAGATTGTCTGCCAACATGATACTCTCAGGCTTAACATGCCCTGTGTTTCCGGTTCATAGAATTTAGGACTGCAAAACACACAAACTTAGACCAAGTTTATCATATAGTATACAGGCAGCATACAGTAATACTCTCAAATATGCCATACAGCATAGGGAGACACATGTATACCGGAAGAAATCCATGGGAATTGGGATGATGGCAGGATTACGATGTGTTTGATTAACTAACTCGGAAATGACGAAACTTATGGCAAACTCGGTTGCTCTGACCTTAATATATCCTAAATAGAGATGATGTTCTAAGATTTCTGATTGCCTGGTAACCTCACTGACACACAGGAACAGAAAATGTAGTAATCTGGTGATTCAAATCACTCAAAGGCCGGAGTTGGTACCTCAATGACAAACAGGAATGGTAATCCAGTGATTCAAATCACTCAGAGGCCGGAGTTGAAGGAAGGCACAGGTGTAAAGTTATATGCCTGCCGATCATCAAGCTTAAGTGCACTCCCCAGCCCAACAATCCTTTAGGTCTTGGTATCAATCATGGCAAATACTAAACAAAAAGGAATCGCATACACTCCTCCGATGAAGAAACGATTGCCTCAGCTATATAAACTGAAGGAGAAAACTACTTCCAGAGGAACCAGGTCATCTTGGGTGAAAGATTCATGGTCCCCGAAAACAAAGTCGGTGACATCGTCACCAACAAAATCTCCCTCAAAGCAAACAGCCGGGTTCTCTCAGATGCTCTATGATGGTGCTGACTTTGACTTTGACCAAGGCTACATGCCTCAGCCTGAATTACCAAAATCTCTGGCAAGCAGAAGTTCTTCTGATATCTGCAGTCTTCATCTGACCGGATCATGCAGAGTCAGAATGAATATCTCTGGCAATGGAAGTGCAAGTTCAAGGACTACATAAATTTACTCATGGTCCGGAAATCCCCTCCCTTGGACCGGCTTTGTGAAGTTTGCAAGAAGGATGGGGTTTATAAATGCCACGGGTGTTTCAACGAGCCCCTGTTTTGCACAGAGTGCTGCAGAACCCAGCATCAAAGACATCCTTTCCATCGCATCAGTCAATGGACCGGATCATTTTTTCAAGAAACTTCACTTATGAAAGTCGGCCTGCACATTCACCTTGCTCATGATGGCACTCCATGTCCCAGCAGCACTGAATACTCATCAGACCTCTTTGAATGGTCAGATACCGATGAACATATAGACCATAATGATTATCCGGAGGAAACTTCCATTCCACTTGTCGCAGACTCAGATCATCCGGCTACAACCATAGTGGACAAATCCGGTGTTCACTCCCTATCCATATGGTATTGCCACTGCCCCAGTGCTCTCGACCGGGATATGCAGCTCTTTCAAGCAGGCTTATTTCCAGCATCCTTCACCAGACCAAAAACTGCATTCACATTCTCCGTCTTGGACGACTTTCTGCTAGACAACCTTGAATGTGGTACATCAGCCATGAATTATTACAGTAAGATCCGGAGGCTAACCTCCAGCATCTTTCCATTGATGGTTCCAGTAAGTCGGTTTTCATTGTCTGCACTTCAGCCAGTCATTGAACAATAATATTTATAGGATCGCTACAGAGAGCTCATGAGGACTGCCAGACAATGGCGTCAATGTAAGCTCTACAAGTGGCATGGGTTTGCCCATAAAAACGATGAGCCTAAGACCGGTGACCTCGCCCTATTTTGTCCGGCATGTCCTCAACCGGGGATAAATTTGGACCGGTCAACCGGTACGGCCACTCAGCCAGACGACACCCCTTCCTGGCTCTTCACCAGGACTTTGGTCATGGATGGTAATTTTAAAGCCGAGCACCTCCATCCGGTGAATCCATCCGATGAAGTATCATTGATGGATGGTCTTGCATTCATGGTCGGAGATGAAAGATACAAGAGTCATTTGGCTGTTGCCAAAGACCATGTCCAAAAGTCAGATTGTAACAATCACCACACAGTCAATCAAGCAAATGCCTCCCGACAAAAGCTAGAGGCCACGGGTATAGGAGGATGTGCATGTGCATGGCATGGATGTTTTGTCCCACATTCCATGGTGGATTTTCAGAAGGGTGAAAGGTAAATAGACATTGCATCTGGTTACATGCATTTCCGGTCTTACTGATCTCGAAAATAATCAGGCAGATGAACATGGACTATGCCTTGAGTTAAGCACTCAACTACAATACAGATGGAATCTCACGAGCAATAATGTTCTATGATATAAATTGTCAGTATAATAAGTTTCTCAAGGACCGGATCGCATCAAGCATGTATCTGTCCATCCCCATTGGCATGGATATCATTCCCGGAATAGGTTTGTGGCATGTGCATGGCCATCAGGACAGCTGCTATGTCCGGTATGCATCAAATTTTATCCATGGGACCGGCAGGATAGACGGAGAGATCATGGAAACACTCTGGGCATCTTTAAACATAATCTCCCCGTCAGCCAGGGGCATGGGAACTCCTCATCGCAAGGAGGTATTGGATTATCAGATGAATGATTCCAACTTCATGAAGATGATTCGCATAAGTGAGTTGCCAATATCCGGATGTACAAATATGTCCAGGTCTCATATAAGTCATTCCTGGCTGACCTGCCCCTCAGCCAAATTTCTTTGCAGAAAGTTTAAAGAGGCTGCTCAGGGTGCTGCAGAGAGCGCACTCTCATTCCAAAATCTTAACGAGACAGTTCAGCCTGCCATGGTAATTCTTTGGGAAGCAGAGGAGGCTCTTGCTCAGGCAAACAGACTGGAGGATCCAACAGCCATGGACATTTATGAGGTCTGGTTGGAAAAAGGCAAGTGTCAAATTCTACTACTACTCATCTGGGCCCGATCACATACTGATTATTATCCGGATGGCATGATCTACAGCTCCAACTAGAAAGCAGCAGGAGTTGCGCCTGCTGGAGGCTCAAAATCGCCCGGATCATCTGGCTACCAATTCCCTCAGTCAACGAGGAGCAGCCACTTGGCTCGCAACTGGTCTCAGCATAGAAGAATCCCAAATCTCTCTCTCTAGAGATGTGAAAAGGCTCAGAAGGCATCCTACAGACATTCAATTGTTGACAGTAGCCAGACTCAGAGATAAGCTGCAAAATCACATTACAAGCTTTCTTGAGATGGCACCTACCTATCTCGTATTTGCGGTTGATGGCAATGAACCGGATTCTCCGGTAGACAGGGTTCATAATTCACTGGATGAAGATTATTCCGATCTCGATGATGATCACAATCCGGATCCGGATCCGGAAACACATCATGGCTCCATCTTTCAACCTGAGCTCACACTCTTACCTTTGCCATCCAACCTCGGTATAGTGAAATGCAATGAATTGGGTCTCACCGATCTCATGAAAGAAGAAACTGCCCTTCGTGAAGGTCAGGCCAATGACGCCCTTCATGCAATTAGAGTTCATTTGGGAGACAAAGCTGTTATATTCCGGAATACTATCCGGTCAGCCAAGTCACAAGCCTCCTCCACCAGGGCATGGACTCAGGTTCGCTCGGTGGAAATGGTAGTCAATCTCAATGCCAGGATATATTCAAAATGTCGGTTGCAGCTAGCCAAACTCCCTGATCACGACCTCCTGCAGAAATATCTTCCACTAAAGAAAGAACACCTGAAAGCAAACGCTGCAGTTGCAGATCCAAATGCACGTGGTCAGAGGGACGCTACTCTCGCATGGTTCTGGTCAATCAATGTTCAGGGTGATACATCCGGAAATGACTGGATGACAGAATGTGAGTACCCAGCACATCCGGTGATATTGGGTGATCCGGTCTCACATATTGCAACAACAGTCTATAGAGTCAATTGGCTCCGGACAAAGGCCCTGTGCGATCGTTGGAATGAAGAGGTCATTCTTGTCAAACATGAAATGCAGTGGTCTGTCAATTTCTTTACCTACAAGGCCAAGCAATGGCTCAGTCTCATGGACAATGCCACTTCCACTGGGCTGACCGGACATGCGTGTTATGCTGCCCGACAATGTCACATATATCAACAACTGGCTGCACATGCAGCGGAGTCATTTCAAAAAGTGATTCTGGTCTCTCAGCCGGAAGTACCGGTTGTTAGATCGTAGTACCGGTACCGGTTACATAGTTCCCGGATTAGCTAATATGTAGTTGTATTGAAAATGTGAGAATAAAACAAACTTTGTCAGTCTCACCATCACATCATTGTCATACACTCACCATGAACAACGCCGTCACCCTGGTTCCCTCTGATCAAATCATTGTGGTCTACTCGGATGGTGAAATCACTGCTGGAGAGATTTCTTGCGCTTTGTTCTACGCCAATTCTCGCTTGTTGGCCATGCACCTGTATGTTGACAAGAGCTTTGCCACCGCCATGCCCGGTTATGCAGAAAATTTTTACACACTCATGCAATGGGAAATGGAGGTAAGCATCCAGTTGTCCGGTTGTCCGGCTGTCTGGCTGTCTGGCTGTCCGGTCAACCGGACAATTCTTCTTCCCTTGCACTCAAATAATGTCGCCTGTCACATAGACTTTTGTAACTCCATTCATCAACATATCCTTCCTGAGCAGGTGCTCCGCTACCATTCCAAAACTTCTCCACAATGTGATTGCAATTTTGGTTGTCCATAAATTGGTGGACCGGCAACCGGATGTGAATGAGGTCCTCATGGAAATCAAAGCATTGCCTCTTTCTGTCCATTCCGCCGCATCAGATCAATATGACATTGCTCGTATGCCAGACTACTTCAATGCCTGGTGGAAGGAGAACCTGGGCTCCTGCAGGGTGCCAGACATGTTGCCAAAATCATCTGTCCAAGATGTGATGGAGTTGGTTGAGGGCCATTTTTCAGAACTCGTGAGTCCATGAGATCTTGACCTCCTTCACTGGTTTCTCACTAAATCTTACTTGCATTGTAATAGCCGGATCATGTGGAAACCGACCTCCTCCCTTATATGCTCACACTTGGCCTGGTTCGTCAACCGGAAACGGTCGGATCAGCATCTCTTGAGCAGTGCTGTCAGACGACAATCGGTAGAGAGCTGTTGGAAATTTTGCAGAGAAGGATGACAAACTTTTTACGTTCAAGTGATAAGTTGGCCGGAGTAGTTGGGCCGGTTGCTGAACTCACTAGGGCCGTGGCGTCCTCACAATCACTCATGGACCGGTTGAATACAGATGACAGTGCATCTGTACGGTCAAGCCCAATTTGACATCTGGAAGCCTTCAGTAGATATGTTATACCCATGTATATTAAAATGCAATGTAAATTTTCAAAGACGAAATCCCCGGTTATGGATTCATCAAACACTTCTTGTCTTTCCTCATACTTTAACCACTCATTTATTTCCTCTAACACATGACAACAATTCCACCGGGCTGGGCATTATACCAGACCTACCTTGCCGGTGAATTGGTTTATGACACCTTCATGTCCAAAATTCATCGACAACCGGTAAAGCCAATGAGTGTTGGATTTTTAGATGTCGACACTTGTATTGCTTTGGAGCAGCTTGCCAATATCCTGGCCATTGCTTACTTCAATCCTGGTATGCATTCTCGCATATATATCTGTGCCGGTCGAGTAACTTGCCAACAGTTCATCTCAAAATTGACATGGTTAGATATAATGAATCTCTGGAAAAATATGAATCCGGACGAAGCGAGAAACGAGAGCAAACTCTTTTAGACAAATTCCCTCCTGCAGAACAGGTTGTCCTAAGAACACCGAGTGTCATCATTGATTCCGGAGGCAGAATAATTGTCTGGTATTTGCCCGGAGCCATGACTGGCATGATAATGGTTTGTTTTATATCCACATTCATTTTTTATTTCATCTCATCCTGATGTATATGACAATATTCACAGACAGACATGCAATGCGCCACGAATTTCATAGGACATCTGTTGAACGATAGCATCACCACCAGGAAGGCTACTGAATGGAGGACCCATGAGTCCAATTTCTATCCAAGTCTGGATGGGAAGATCACACCCGGTTGCATAAATATATCACCCGCCTGGTTTCAGCAAGGCAGAGAGGTATGTCCAGTTCGTATCAATTGGTGCTGCTAGTCTAAAGTATTGTAGAAACATGGTTTCCCAAAACTTGATCTGGAAGACGGCTTCTCACCTCAGGTATCCGCTGCATTGAAAGGTGATGCTGGTCGCAATATCACAACCTCCCTTCAAAGGTCCGGTAATCGCTTCTTGGTTCCGTACCAAGTGGCACCCCGACTAAGACCCCGAAAAACTGTCCAAAACAGCTAGCTAACCGCCCAACAGCAGAGACGGCGTCATTGCCGTCCCATTTCAAATTCTCTTAATATCTCTGCTTCCTTCTCTAAAGTACATATACGCTAGACCCATAAAATCATCACAAACCAACAAAAACATAAGAAAAGAACAAAAGCCTCACAATGCCGCTAAACCCTAAAGGACCCCAAAAGACAAGTACACCGCCAACGAGGTCACCCTCAAGACTAGCGGTAAACGAGATTATAGCTTCGAATAGTGAAGTCAAGGACATAGTGAGCGCTCAGAACTATCTCACTCAGACGGCAATGGCCATCAGCGGCAAACCGTACTCCGTTGACAACCTTTCAGACATTCTCTTCCACATCACGCAGCTCCCAGGAATGACTCTCCCAGCACAGAATGCGATAAGAGCAGTAGCTTTTCTACTCGAAGAAGCGGCCGAAATAGAAATGGCAGACAAAGTAGCTAAACTGGTTCTAACCGCCATCACTCCACAAATTGCAAAGCTACAAGACACCTCAGAGAACATCACATCATCCGCATCAAAGCTCGAAACGACACAGGCTAAGATCACTGACATCTCATCGAACCTCTCTGGGAACACTGCTGACAGAATCATAGACTCAGCAACAATAGATTCACGTCTTGAAAAGATGCAAGAAGCTGTCACTACACTAACCACGCAAGTCAAAGAAGCAAACAATCAAGGTAACTACAAGAAGGCACTACTCACGGGACTCGACACCAACACCGACCCTCTAACGACCCAAAGAGCAGCCAGAGACGCCATCAAAGCCCGCCAAATCTTAATCGATATCAGCAAGGACAGTCAACTTGCCCCAGGCAAAGTATCACACGCGCAATTAGTTGACCTCATCAACAAAGCAATCAAGACCATATCCACCCAGGACTCCCCATCATTAGACATACACGCAATCAACCAGTTCAGGAACGGAGGTACAGTTATTGAAATGTTGACAGCAGACGGAGCGCAACACCTCAAGAAACCGGAAATCAAGAAAAAGTTCCTCGAAGCACTAGACCCAACGGCTACCATCAAAGATCGCGCATACCAGGTAATAATCCAATTCGTCCCACTAACCTTTAATCCAGGAAACCCAGAACACATCGACAACCTTGAACAAGAGAACAACTGGAGCCAAGGTGTTCTAACATCTGCACGCTGGGTCAAGCCCCCGGAAAAACGCAACAACACCCAAAGGGTCGCTCACATCATGGCATCATTCAACGACCCGAACGTAGCTAACACTAGCATCCGAGACGGCATTACTCTCAACAAATACCGCCTCCAAGTCAAGAAGAACAAACGTGAACCCATACGATGCGCGAAATGCCAACACTATGGTCATATTGCAAAGGAATGTATCTCTCACAGTGATGTCTGCGCTAACTGCTCGGGACCACACAGAACTAGTGAATGCATGGACAAATCAAGCACGGTATGCACTTCCTGTCAATCTGAAGACCACGCAAGCTGGGACCGATCCTGCCCAACATTCATCCGCAAATGCGCAGACCTCGACGCCAGACAATCCGAAAACACAATGCCCTACTTCCCTACCGACGACACATGGACTCAAGTTCAAGCACCCTCCAAAGCCAAACTGTTCATCAGGAAGGAACCCACGCCAGAATATTCGGAACCCCCTCAACACACGCAAGACACGCTCAAGAGACACTTTCCCCCCAGAGGAAGCCGTAACACCAGAGGCTCATACCTAAACCCACCCCTAGGATTCTCATCTCATCAACACAACTCCCAATGACAACGTTCGGTAACACCAGCACACTCCACTAACTCCCTCTATGTCTAGGACACCCAACAAACAAACAGTAAGACTACGAATCTGGCAAGAAAACTTAAACAAATTGGACACTGCCCAACACTGCATCCTTAGCGGCCCTTTCACGGCAAAAGAACAAGATATCGTCGTAATCCAGGAACCCTGTATAGACTTTCTAGGTAACACTAAGGCAACTCCGGACTGGAACGTTATATACCCCTCGAACAGATATACTAATCCCAACAGACCACGCGCAATCACCCTCATCAACAAACGACTCAACTCCAACAACTGGCGACAACTCCCATTCCCATCATCAGACGTAGTGATAATTCAGCTCAGCGGACCCTTCGGCAAACTCACCATCATCAACATCTATGATGACTGCAAGAAACGAGAAGTCATTCCAGCCATCTCGGAATATCTAGAAAGGGAGATACGCACTGTCCGCCCTACCGCCGGAGACCACATAATTTTAATGGGCGACTTCAATGCACATCACCCACTCTGGGAGGAAGACCGCAACGTACACCTTTGCACACCTCCAGACGCTCAGGAAAACGCACAAAACATTATTAACCTGATGGCCGACTACGATCTACAGATGGCTCTTCCAAAGAACACCCCGATGCTCCAATCCTCAAGCAGCGGCAACTGGACAAGACCAGACAATATATTTTGCAAGTCCCATACGCTAGATTCATTCACTATCTGCAATACTACTCCTAGACGCCGACCGCCGTGTACTGACCATGTTCCCATCATTAGCTCCCTAGATTTAGAAGTCCCACGTGCCTCAACAGCCACAACAGTCAACTACCGCGAAGTTGACTGGGAAGAATTCAATAGCTCCCTCGCCCATCACCTCAGCGCATACCCTCCCCCAGCACTCATCACCTCAGAAGAACAGTTTCAAATGGCCGCCGCCAATCTTAGTGAAGCCCTTAAATGTACCATAGCCGACAAAGTCCCCAAAACGAAGCCATCCCCTCATGCCAAACGATGGTGGACGAAGGAGCTCACAAAGATGTTAAAACAGAAAGACCAGCTAAGTGCAGAATCGTATAAGATGAGAGGCCTACCTGACCACCCTATACACGAAGAACATTGTAAATTCCGCAACCTAACTACTGAAGCCATCCGCAAGACCAAGCAAGAGCACTGGATCAGCTTCCTCGAAGAACTCAATCAAGAAAGTATCTACACGGCCAACAAAATCGTGATGAAGCCCTACGGCGACGGAGGAAGAACAAGTATCCCTGCCCTAAAGACCAAAGACGCCAACGGCAACCAAGTAGAAGCTATCACGAATGAAGATAAGAGTATAGCCCTAGCTGAAGCATTCTTTCCGCCTCCTCCTCTCACCAGTTCAGTCCCTACTAACTTCAGCTATCCAGAACCCGTCACCCCCTTCGCTCCCATCCTGGCAGCACAGCTCATTCGCACCATCAACAACACTAGCTCGTATAAAGCTCCCGGACCTGATGGCATATGTAACATAGTATTTAAACGCGTGCAACACCTCCTCATCCCCTACCTCCTATGCCTATTCAATGCAGTCTTCACCCTCCAAACATACTATGACCCATGGCGAGAGTTCACGACCGTAGTCCTACGCAAACCAGGAAAGACTGACTACACCATCCCGAAAGCATATCGTCCCATTGCCCTAATTAATACCACTTGCAAGCTACTTACTGCCCTAATAGCAGAACAAGTCACATGTATCCTAGAGCAACACAACCTCCTCCCAAATACACACTTTGGTGGATGCCCAGGCCGCACCACAACAGATTCCCTACACCTCCTAGAAGCTACTGTCAAGAACGCGTGGCGTAACAACAAAGTTGCCTCAATACTCTTCCTGGACATCGAAGGCGCCTTCCCCAATGCAGTAACTGACCGGCTCGCTCACAACATGAAGAAAAGACGACTCCCCCCGGAAATAGTTGATTTCACAGTCAGAATGCTTACAGGACGACGCACGCAACTACGCTTCAACGACTCAACTTCAAAATGGATAGACGTTCGGAACGGAATCGGTCAAGGAGACCCCTTATCTATGATAGCCTACTTGATATATAATGCTGACCTTGTAGACATAGCTAACCCCCGCAAACAGGAAACAGCCCTAGCCTTCGTCGACGACACGGCCTTCATCGCCATAGGCCCAACGTTCGAAGCCACCCACCGCACCCTGAAAGATATGATGGAACAACGCGACGGAGCACTCCAATGGTCTCAAGATCACAACTCAAAATTTGAAGTTAACAAATTCGCCCTAATAGATTTCACCCGCAGCAAAACCTGTCACCACCCTCCACTAGTTATACAAAACACCACAATCAACCCCACTGAGCATCACCGCTTCCTCGGCCTGCTCATTGATCAGGAACTAACGTGGAAATATCACACAGGTCACACAATCGCTAAGGGAGTTGAATATGTCCTCCAACTTCGCCGTCTTGCCAAGCCCACCAACGGAGTATCAGCCAATCTCATGTGTAAGTTATACACTACGGTAGCCATCCCCAAGTACACCTACGGAGCGGATATATGGTTCCGTCCAACCTTCAACTCGTATACAGGCTCGCCTCGGAAAGGATCTATGGGAGTGGCCCGAAAACTAGCTAAGGTACAACGTATCGCGACACTGAGCATCACAGGAGCAATGAGATCAACAGCTACTGACACCCTAGATGCACACTGGAACCTCCCCCCCATCCCCCTTCTCCTCCAGAGAATATGTCACCGTTCCGCTCTCCGCCTAGCTACGCTACCAGACCGCCACCCTCTACAACCCCTCCTGAAGCACATAGTCTGACACCGGAACATACGAAGGCACCGCACGTCGCTACACGAACTCCTAGCTACATTCCAAATCCTCCCAAGTGAAACGGAAACGTTAGACCCTATCCTACGCCTAAATGCCAGTCAAAGAAACGTCGTCAAAAATCATATCACACTGAAAGCGAAGGAAGCCATCAAAGAACAGCAAGAACTCAAGGATATGATACAAATTTTTACTGACGGCTCTTGTTACAGGCATCCGTAACACCTACAGGAGCCCCTGCTCTGCCTACACCTGCCCCTGCTCTGCTAGACTCCCCGCGCGGCGGTGTGCCGCCTGCACCTAGAAAGACAGCGGTCTGGACCGCTATGACCCCGCCCCTGGCGCTATGACCCGCCCCTGGCCTAGACGGCCTTGTACCTGATCCATGGAGGCTGTACGCCTCATGGTCACCCTAGATCAGCGCATGCATACCGCATGTCGCTTCATGAAGATCCGGAGCGCTCTTGGCGCTTCCTGTACCTACGTGCAGTTGCACTTGGCGCTGCATGCTTGATCAGAGGTTAAGCCTCATGTACCCTATCTGACCTCATGTCTTGTTATCATAGATCCTAGATATACTATTGATTACAGACTGAGCTAGAATACTTGTAGTACTTCCCTATAAGTAGACACAGATTATTGTACTTAGACTTTACTTTAATCTACTAGGTTCATCCCCAGAACTTGCTCATCTAAGCCTTACCAGCTTCCTTGTGTGAGACCACACTTCTAAGTCGCCCCCTTACGACTTAGCACGTATCCGCTAGCCCTGTATCTCGACGAGCGCCGTCTTACCGAGATCACCGGAGGAACCCTTGACATTCCGTCAAGCCAAGAACCACCCTCAGCTTCAGTAGACTCACTCGAGTCGTCGCTGAGAAGACCTATCCTAGTTTGCACACGCCGACCGACGGTCAGCGTAACAGCTCTGGACATAACGGAGGCATAGGAGCGGCAGCGGTTCTACTGCGGGAAGGGCAAGCACCCCGCACACTAAAGTATCACCTAGGATCAAACAAAGTACACACCGTATACGAAGCAGAAGTGGTTGGACTCACACTAGCTGCCAAACTCCTAGCGACAGAACGCAATGTCACCTATCCGGCATCCATCTTCATAGATAATCGTGCAGCCATCCAATCCGGTGAGAGTCATATTGCGAAATCAGGCGGATACTTAGTAGAACATTTCCGCAGACTAACAAGAGAGCTCGCGCTATGCAGAGAGCATCACGGAAGCGACTTCGATCTAACAATCTGTTGGATACCAGGACATAAAGGAGTGATAGGTAATGAACTCGCTGACGCAGCAGCAAAAGAGGCAGCAAAGGGCCCCAATGAATCAAGCGCCAAACACAGACTCCCAAAGTTCCTTCAAGATGGTCTGTTGCTGGACAGTATATCCGCCCTGAAACAGTGGCATGAGGACACCCTACAGAAACGCTGGAGCAACATATGGAAAAACTCACCCAGATACGCCAGAACCAACGCGATCGACCACACCATGCCATCCAAGAACTTTCTCCGCCTCATAGCCCTCAGTCCACGTCGACAGACCAGCATATACACTCAACTCCGCACCCGCCATGTACCCCTCAACTACCATCTACACCATCTCGGAAAGAGCGCAACCCCACACTGTCCCATATGCCCCGGTACAAACGAAACCATCCACCACTACCTACTTGATTGCCCCCAATACGTCCGCGAACATCATATACTCTCTAATGTCCTACGTCATCGAGCCTCCTCCATCTCCTTTCTCCTAGCATCAGAAGAAGCAACTAAACCACTTATGCATTTCATCAACAGTACAGGACGCTTCAAAGCGACATTCAGTGAGATCCCGCTCATATAAAAAGCTCACTCTTTCACATATAGCCTATATACTACAGAATAATACGCCCGCGACCCACAACCCAATCAAACCCAACCTACAAAACGCAAAAACTAATTCAAAACTAAATTCAAACTAATCCAAACTAATTCAAAACCACTCCGCACACCAAGGAAACGCTGCTTGCAGGACAAACAGCACTGGAGGACCGGAAGTAGCAGGCTAGAACGAGGACAAAGATGAATGAAGGCCCGAGCACGAGACAAGACGAAGAAGCAAAGACATCACACCAGAAACACAGCGAAAAACGCCAAACGGCACTCCTACTCACCTTACCTAGTTCTCACCCACCCATACTTTACCCCAACAGCCGTTCCCTTGTATGAAGTTGGCAGTCGGCCTTGGCCTGACTACACGCCAATGGAGTACGTGTCAAAGACCCCAGAACACATACAGTACATATACACTTATGATAGCTAGCCGGGAGTAAGCCCCCCGCACTCGAATAGGGCTATGTCCGACATAGGGTCTATGACCCCAAAGGACAATAACAATGATTTTAAGAAAAAAAAAAAAAAGGTCCGGTATCCTTGTCTCTGCTGCACTTCGGGTCATGCACCCAGATCTATATCGGGCTGGAATCAAAACTCAAGTCCAGCTCGGTGAATGGGCGACCCAGTATCAGTTAGAAGACATGTGCCATCATCTCAAACATTGGGCATCTGTCTTCAATGTAGTGTCAGTCATTTGCAATCGCCGGTCACCACCTCATAGAGATCCGAAATGTCGACCGGAGGCATTTGATATTATGACAACCGCAGGTGTTTATCATCCAGTCATAATGGATTTCATGAATCTCGGCATCAAGTTTCTATATGACTCCGGGTCAATGTTGGCCTCATCATGTTGCCTTGTCAGACATCACATGCATGTTCAACAGGGTAGCTGGATTGTCACTGCGTGGTACATGCGAGATAGTATCCATAATTTTGTTGGAACTCCAAGGACAGACTATGCAAAATATGGCAATGTACAACGCAGTGACCCGGTTGAGAAGAAAGATGTTTAGACAAGTGATGATTCATATTTTAGTCTACTCTGATTGATATTCACTTGTGCAATGTTTTTAGCATATGATAGTGGATGTGCCGGACGACAGGCTTGTGAGATGACAGATACACCAGATTATCGCCTACCGGATTGTATATTTGCCTGTACCGGATCATAGGGCAGTGAGATTATTGATGCACCTGCCGGATGATAATCTGACCGGATCTCTGGTGTATATTATTCGTCCGGCTCGGTCGTTTCCATTTTACACCGGATTCGCTATTCGAGTAGATTCCTGTACCAGTCTATACTATATACCCCCAGCCCATCCATTTACCTTGGGTACACACATCCGGCCAGCCCACTCGTCTCCATCGTAAACAGGATTTGGTATTCATAATGTCATGTATCCTAGTAGATTCCTATATCACTATTTATAATGTATGCTCTCGGCCCATTCGTATGTCTCAGGTACACAAATTCACTCAGCCCACTCATATGGTCGGCCCATCCGTTTACCTTGGGTACACACATCCGGCCGGCCCACTCGTCTCCAATGTAAACAGGAATTAGCATTGATAATATCCTATATACTAATACATTCCTATACCACTGTCTATATAATGTACCCTCAGCCCATCCGTGTGTCTTGGGTACACACATTCACCCGGCCCACTCGTATATCATGGTACAATTATGTTCATGGGCCCACATGGGATGGCCCGTTCCCAACGGTACATTGTCACACTTGGCTGTCCGTCTGAGACGGGTGAATGTTGCTGTATTATGTGGTTCTCAGCTTGACTGTCCCTCGTAGTTGCTGAAATAATATTTTTAGCGCTACTTGCAAATGATTCAGTTGTAATCATGCCGAGCGTACGGTTTTGTTCCATATCGATCCTATATTTGCTATTGAGCTTGAATTTAAAGTTGTTCCCTATCGTCGTGATTGCAGAGTGGACGCTTCAGCAACAGCATAGCACAAGCTTCCGAGACCTAGTGTGCGCCACAAGTAGCATAGAGCAATGATGACGCGATGAGGTTTGCTGCTCTAGTGCTCTTGGGATGCCCAAAATTTGTCTTCCACAAACGTATCTCATCCAACACAAGTAACAACATGATTCTTCGATAGATACAACGTCGATTACTAGCATTGTTATATTGACACCAAGAAGTCGAACTAGGAACGACTAATACATAAAAATTAGTATTGCTAGCCTCGATCTAGCCATCGTTCCGACCCAAACATCTTCTCATTTGTGCGCTAGTTTTATCTCACGAAAGTAAAACAATGTTGTTGGCCAATAATTAATCAACTTTGATGGCGATCCTTTAATACTACTACAGTTAGATATAACGGGAAGTGCAAAAAACTTGAAAAAAGATACGTGAACTAGAAGAATTCTACAGATCGTGGCGTCATATGTTTCTAACCTGAATCACTCAGTACTACTATGAGTCCTGCAGTGAGCCAATGGGCACATAGATTGAATAACAAAACTTACCAATCAGGCGATCTCTTCGAAATCTTCGTCTGTCAACCGTCGAGCGCTCAACATTTTCCCGATGTGGGTGGGCAAGTACCCCATTCCCTTGCGTCTGATATTAAAAAGCGCTTTCAACATAGGTATGGGCGACTGTTCGAAAAGGTCGGGTTGATTCGCAGCAGGAGAAGATCGATCCTCTGGTCTAATGAATCCATCGCTTTGAACTTTAAACTCACCCTGACCCTCGATGTAGATCCCCAAGAAGCGGCACAGTCGCACATACGTGCTATAATGAGGAAAGTAGAGTTGTCCAGCAAAGGTATTAAGCTGCAGTATGAGAGCCTCAGGTGGCATCCACTGCACGGGGAGTGATGGTATACTGTAAAGGCGCAAATCATCGCATGGTTTCATCATTCTGATGACGCGTGGTGTATAAAGATGCAAGTGAACTTGCGTACTTGCTCGGATGTCTGGTAGTAAATCGTTAACCTCGAAGGGGCTGATGATGGCTAGCACTGGCACGCCCGACGCTGTGCTTGAAAGGATCCAATTGACTGGGCGAATATAATTGTCTGTTTTGTCTGAGAAGCCATGCATGACTGTAGCAAAATCCCTCGAGGCAAGCACGTGATGGGTCCATGGCTGACTTTTCGGGATGGCAACCGAAGTTGTGGTGAGAATGTCGAAAATTGGAGTGAACACGCCAGAACCTTCACGAATGCAGCCTGTTTGAATGAAAGACCGGACATCCTCATGAACTACGTGTTTTGCAGGCTTTTCCAGCAGCGGTCTCTCAACCTCGCGCTCAAGCTCGACTTCATTCACCACTTCTCTCACCTGCTCTTCATCCAGGCGGGTGTCGGGCAAGATGCTGAATCCCAGCTTATGGAATCTCTCCAAAATATCTTCGTCTACCAATGTCCGGGAAGCAGAATAGCCGACAGGAACTGTGGCGTACAGCTCTTCCAAATGCCTAGCCTCTGGCTGAAGCCACGAGGAGGCGAATGCAGCGGGAGTAACATTGCCAGACAAGAATGAAGACCACGAACGGTTGCGAGATCTGTAATCCATTCCATGTTGGATCCATTGTGGAGTATGATGTTGAATGTCTGAGCACGTTTCAGTCATTGCCCACACGAGGATGTCCGACACATGGATGTCCTCAGTGTCGCCTTTGTTGTTCACGGCCCGGATGTTGCGGTCTACTTCTGGAGGTGCAAAAAACATGACTGAGTGGCCGCAGCCGAGCTTTCTCATGCGCATGCAACCTGTTAATGTGTTACTGAGTGCTATATATGAATATGCATCGCATCCTGACCTTGAACAAGGCGGTCCTTAGTGACCTTTGGACCTAATGTGACAGCTGCGCGAAATCCCTGGGGAAAACTGATGTCCGTTCCTCGAGTGTGTGCATCATCCAGGTACAAGACACACTTATCCAGTCGTTGAGCATAGCAAGACACGATAAATGGCTCTACGAGTTGATCCCGAGTGCGCACCACAAGCTCGTCGTGCTCGTTAAAATAAATTGCTGCTTGAGCATCCTGGTTGATTTCTAGCCACATCTCCGCCACTTCGTCATTCTGCAATTCAAGCACTCGTGCACCCACATCGAGCAAGACCCGTATCTCCGGCTTCTGCTTTGCGATGACCCTAAGGAGTTCCAGAGCGCCTTCACCGGCTGCATGCGAATCGTAATGATCATTCTCGTGCTGTAAAAGGTACATGAGAACTGTGGCGTTCGTACCACGCTGGTGGGATAGTGCACGTTGTGATATGGAAGTGGGAAGCAAGTAACGCAAATCATTTGTTCCGCTGAAGCCAGTGGTGGGCAACCTAGAAGACTTTTGCTCTGCGAGGTCCCATGCAGAACAAGATAGCTTGTGAGGAAATCCCTTCGCTTCTTTTGGAAAGACGACATGAGCCAAGAAGAAGTCTACAACAGCTTTGTTATGTGCGAAGTGATGCATCAAACAGGCAGTGAACTGCTCAGTAGACTCCACTGTGTTGATCCCACTGAGGTATCGCAGGTTTTCTGGAAGAGGCAATCCTTTGATCCACGTCTCGTACTCCAGTGTGGGATTGTCTTGCTTCTGCAGCTGGCGGAAGCAGGTGGCTAACTGCTCCTTAGTAAGCCCTGCGTAGTAGTACGAAAGACATGTAAGGGCGATTGAGATGTCTGGATGTCCAAATTCTGCCTTGGAAGAGGGAACATCTTTGGCTCGGTATGGCACAGCGAGCAAAGTGCGTTGAGGATCTAGACCGTAATCTATACGCCATTGCCGCTCCTTCAACACGGATATCAATATACCGAGAGCGAGGAGACCTCGAATAAGTAGTAGTCCGTTCCACAGACTAGACCCAGTGCAATAACTTCGGACTTGATCAAGGTACTGCACGTCAATAGCGGGAACAGTAACACACTTGCGGATGGTGTCTTTTATATGAGAAGGCACATGTCCGAGAGCAAGATTGGGAAGTTCTCCGTTAAGGACATCGTTAGCAAGCAGCTGAACCAACTTTTCACCTGCACGAACGTCCAGGACTCTGAAACGTGAAAATCTTCCGACAGCACCTGGGACTGGCCTGAACTCTACTCCAAGAGGAAATTCTTGGTGCAGGTGGTAAGCGTGTTTTGCTACAAGAGTCATCACTTGTTGTGTTATGGCCCATCGGTCTGGATGTCCTTCCAAGTGCTGTTGGGGACCCATAGCATAGACGAGTTGAAAACGAACGCGCAGCAGTTCGTCACTTTCATCAAGTATGTCGCGAGTGTAAGTATCAAGCCACCGTTGACTGTCCAACAGGGACGCGGTAGGCCCAGTCAGTGAGCCCTGTCCACCTGCATTTGCGGGGGGAAGCTGCTGCGCCACAGTCATCAACTTGAAAGAGAGAATGTGATCTGGTTGGGCAACAAGGATACCACCAACACGTTTGCACTCGTCGAATAGTGACTGGATGGTTTCTGCATGTCCAGGGCTAACTGAAGAAGACCGCGAGAATGGCAAGTAGAAAATTCGCCTATTCGTAAGGCCACTGAGCCGTTCCACGAGTAGCTGAAACATTTGCACTGCCAAAGGCTTGGGCACGATAACGCGGACCAACTTTTCGCCATTTGCTAGTGCAGCACAACAGATAGGTACGATCACAGAAGATTTTCCTTCCCCCATGTGAAGCTGCAGAGCGGTATTGTCTTCAGATTTTGGGCGTATCATCTCAGTTGCCACATCGGCTTGCATGGGACGGATAAGGAATCGGTTGTCTGCCTAGTATCGTTAGTAATCGAGAATTTTGATTATCAACGAGCATCGAATACCTGAATCAGAAGCCAGTCCAGATATCCCTGTGTACGATCTACCTTTTGGTAGCCATTGTTTACCAGCTCTTTAACAAGCTCTTCGTGGTCTCCACCATCCACCAGTCTCAAAAGTCGTTTTGATCGTTGTAACCGAAGAAGAATGTGAGCAAATTTGGTCAAAGCGGTTTTCCACGAGTCGCAAAGATGTGTCCTTGACATGGAGGCGAGAAGCTGGAGTAGAAATGAAATGGTAATGCGCGGCCATTGCCCGGAGTTGAACAAACTCCACTCCACCACGCCTGAGGGAGCTAGACATTCTTCCAAGTCGTGAAAAGTGGTGCTGTAGAGTTCATTACAACGTGTATGATGGAGTTGCAACATGTCGACTAGCGTTGGCATTGAGTTCGGGGGGAATGATGATTGTTGGTTATCTAGATGGATTCTGCTGTCTTGTAGATCTTTAGCATACTGGCGACCAAATTTATCAGATTGAGATCGCGAGAAGGTTGAGATGACATGGTCCAGTGCGGTCAAATGGAGCCCGCTCCCAGAAGAATTTCCAATCAGTGGGAAAGAGCTTTCAAGTTGTGCGAGTGGATCCGAATCGTCCGATAGTAATGTGACAACAGGAGCAGGCTTTTTGAACAAGTCTTCAGTAAGGACAACGGTGATTACCGATACAACAACCGAATTGCTCGGAGCGAACGTGTATGGTTGCTTCAAGTTGACGGATGGTAAGGGGATTCGTCTCACTTCGTCAAGCACATCCTGCACTTGATCCAAATATATCTTCAGGCAATGATTGCGATAGCAGTTTGAATACAGTGTCTCAAGGTAAGCTGCGAGGCTAGACTTGTCATATCGAGCGCCGCTAAGACACTCCAGTGCACGGCTAGGGACGGAATAGCAAGGCCAAAGACCTAGAAGGACATTGATCGCCTCTTTCTGCTCACAAAGACATTGTGATTGGAAGAGTTCTTCTCGCCGAGCATCAAAATCACGAGATAACTCGTCCGAGTGACGAGACAAGGATGCCTCGGGGCTATTTTGGAAGGTGGAATATAAGGGAATGCGATGGCAGAGATTATGTTCTAGGGATTTGATTCCGAAGGAAAGGTCATATAGATCGTATTTAGGGGAGGAGATGGAGCGGAATTTGGGATTAACGGCGAATGCAAACATAGTTGCTGTGAGCGCCACATTCTCTGGGGAGGAGTAGGCCATGGCTGATAGTGTGAAAGCGAGCTGAAATGTACGAGTTTCCCGATTGGCGTGGCGGCAAAGTTCGTAGAAAGATATCCATTTCTTGGACAACTCAGGGTTCAACCATCCTTCATCGTATCGAAGAGATATATTGTGCATCTCCCCAGACACTTTGTTCCACTGAGCGAAAACATCATAGAGCGATTGACAAGGTTCCAAAGTGATACTCCAGTCGCGCACCATACACGCGCAATCGTAAGACCTTTGTTCGTCGATTGAGCGGTAGACCATGTCCCTTGCAGGATATTCACTACTCGATGATTTGATGGGATAGAAGGAATGGACGAAGTCACGGGAGTAAAGGACAATGGACCGCTGAGAGCCACGTTCCAGGAGGGACCTCTCCTGTGCTGGAAAGTTCGGACCGATCGAAACCTCCTGGAGCACCCGCAGTTTTTGTGCATACTGGACTATATTTCTGACAGCATGGTAAAATGCGCAGCTTTGAATATAAGACGACAAGCCATCCTGCCAATGAACGTTCTGCATGCACATCTCCTGAGTACGATGCCACGTTCGACGGACGGTCAAGGAGCCTAGTTGAGCTAGAAGGTCACAGTCGAACTGGTTGAGCTTCATGAAGGAATAACATGCAGCGGATTGCAGTAAATACATAGCTTCTTCCACACCCGTACGCTTAGTCAACGGGTCTGCAACATGGGCACTACACACAGCGTGCAGGTACACCTTGTACAGTTTATTTGTGAAATCAATGTTTCCCGCCAGGCGACAGAGTTCCGTGTCAACGGTATAACAATGATAGGGACGGCGAACAGTATCAGAAGAAGTATGAATGGTGACCTGGACATGGTGGCCTTCAGGCTTTACTTTGACGATGCCTTGTGGGATGATGACACGACGATTGCTGTAAGTCCGTTGATCTTTGGGGCGTAAAACGAGCTGGTTAACGAGTCCAAGCATTGTGCCAGTGGACTGATTTTCGTCAACAACCATGCCTCTCTGGTCGTGCGAATGCAGGTCTCCATCTCTGTTAAAGAAAGAGAGACCAAACCGAGGGAGTTCGACCTTGACTACAGTCTGGCCTGCTTCCACACTGCGAGTGACAACCAGATATTGAAGGTCTTCGAGTGGGCCCAGTGTCTTCGCTATCATGTGAAAGGTGGGACTATGGATGTCAAAAAGAGTTGATTGACCCCGTTGCACGACTGACTGGCCGCCTTTCATAAATCGCAATACCCAGTTTTTGTCGGACGGCTCCCACATTCTCTTCTTCGGACGAAATTCGATCGCATGAGTCCTTAGGTTGAGCCAATGCACATGATCTTCGAGCAAGAATGCAGGGACGTCTGACTCAAGCTTATGTTGAGGTATTAGCTCAAGAAGGTCCCCGTCGTCACATTTCGATCGAATGACAACTTCCTGACTGTGCATCCCGAAAAATAACTGTAAGAACAGTTAAGTTTTGGACATCAACCTTAGACTGTGCCGCCTTACTTGAAAGCCGTGTATGAGAGCTTTTGTCGCAAATTCGAAGCCGGGCATTTCCGCAGGGAAAACATCAAGCTCTTGCTACTCAAGTGCTATCAGATCGCTAGCGACTAATCAGCAAGATGGACACTTACATCATCGAAGAGTACACGGTAGCTAGCATGCTCTAAAAAGGACTCTGGCAACCTTCTTAAGGGCTTGCCGTCGACCAATAGGCATGCCGTCAATATATCAAGATGAATAATCTGACGCCGTGACACATCGCTGGAAGGCGCTGTTTCACATCTAAGCCATCGAGAGTTTGGAGATTCAAGTACTGTCCAGCGCGCGTGACGCCGGTATGCAGGCCAGAGATGGATCATCGCCTGATCAAGACCTTCGTCGCTAGATTCCACATGGCGTCGGAAATGAATCTCTAAGAAGTGTGATAACCGACGGTCACGTTCGAGAAGTAGTTTTGAAGCTGGGGAAAGATTATGTATATTGAGAGGCGTGTTGTCCCTCAAGATAATAGCGCAGTACACCAGAATCTCTAAATCATGTGACGATTTGAGAAGTTCACTAATATTGTCTGGGCCTACGTCGTAGGTGCTGCGACAAATTGCTGCCATGTTGCGAACATGGTCCCGGATTTCATGACGAGATTTTTCGTCTGCAGCATCTTGGAGAGCCTTGGATAGTTCTTGCACCAATTTGAAAGTTGAATCTCGGACGACACGCAGCAAGTTGTGCAATCGCTCGATGACACCGGAATCCTCTGCTGATGAGAGAAGGCGGGATGCGAGAGTAGAAATAGTTGCCATCGTTAGCCACTCGAGCCAGTTAGCTTCCACGGCAACTTTTAAGCTTTGGAGCTCGTCGATAAGGGCATGCCCGAAATCTGAAACTCGCAATTCGTCGTGCCATACCCTATACCCATCCCCTGAAAGCTCTCCCACCTCACGGCTAGCCTGAAGCAGCAGAAAGTGGACTTCTGGATCGCGAAAGGCGAGCGTACGTGCTCGGATTTCACGAAGAATGTTGAACCATTGGAGGAGCCTGCCGCTACGGAGGTTGCCGAAAGCAATGAATTCATGGAGTGTCAATTCAGCAGGACACGAAGCCTGGTTGGCCAAAACCTCATTGGAGGTGTGCTCGGTGCCCGACAGGTAATTTTGCAGTCCGTGATACGGGCCAGGTGGCAACTTGTACATGCATAGATCAGATATGTCGGTGTTTCGAAATAGATTAGACATCCAAACGCCTCTAGTTGCGTGGTAAAGGCGAAAACGCAGCCCATTCTTGACGCGTATGTCGCTTTCGGTGCATGGAAGGGATTTCAAGCGGCTCTGAGAAGACAGGAAGGACTGTGTCTCAGAGGCCAACGTAATATGCTGGTCGGTACGCTTCGAGTGATAGTTCAAAAGAGGCTTGTAATGCGTGAGCAGCATGTACTGTGTTGCGCTTTCAGTTGGTTTGGTAGCTGGGGTGCATATGTCATGAAGAAGGTGGACAGTAAAAGATCGCCACATCTTGAAAGTGGTCGGTGCACCAAGCTCAAATATCACTACCGCTGCATGGTTGCCATCATAGGGAAGTGGCCATTCATGAATTTCAATGGAAAGACGCTTCCTCTCCTCCAATTTCCTGCACTTGCGGCAACCATTATTGTCATGTCGACTTGAACCTCGCGCATCCATGTATGTGCCGCATGTGAGAGCATTGATGTCACGGGTGAGATCCTCGTACTTGGCGTTCTTCTCATGAAGATCGTCGATCCGCATGCGCAGCTCAACACCTGCATCGTGCTCGATCTTGCGCTTCAATGACTGTAATTCCTCGGATTGGCGATAGCAGCGCAGTGCGAACGTGTCTACGCCCATGCTGTTCGAGAAGACAGAGAAACCCGAGTGTGCATCACGGATGCGAGCAGCAACATACTGTTGAAGACATTTGAGACGCACCAAATCAGAGGCGTTTTGAAGGAGAAGACGATTGAAAATGGTAACAGGAACTTCTGGAGAATATTCTTTAAGGAGGGGAATTGATTTAACAGCCAACTTGTCGAGTGCAGCCCAGAGTTCGAACAATGTAAGAAGCATGATGGATTTATTTTCGGGATTGTTGGAATAGGAAAGCTGCCCTCCGACTCTGGTGGCATAACTGGTGGCACACGCTTGAATGGTCAGGCAAGCGACATCAATTTGACCAGCGTCAAGGTTGATGTTTTTATCCACCCAACCAGTGATGCCCTGCTCAATGGCACATTCGAAATCAGAAAGTGTTAAAAGAGGGTCCTTGGCATAAGCATCCGCGAAGAACTTGTCATCGGGATCAAGGAAGTCATCGATAGTGCCCCGTGGATAATGAGGAGGTTGAAAATCTGGCACTGTAGGTTGAACATAGGTACGTTGTAGGACGCCAACGATATACTCTTCGCTCGCTGGCAAAGAGAGTCTGGTGTCTATGTCTATGTCGATCTTCGAGGCATCCCAGTGAGGGAAATGTGCCTGAGCATCCTGGACGTCCTTCCAGCGCAGTTCCAGTCGATTTCTGATGCCCTCGGTCGCATTGTGAATCATCTCCACTAAAAATCCGTCCTCGACTTGAAGCTTGACCAAACGCCGACTGATTTTGGTGGACATAAAGTAGAGCAGATCGCTCGACAGATCCTCCTGTAGTGCTTTGAACACAAGGTCTGTCATGAGCGAGGCCATAAAAGCCTTGTACCCTTGTCGACCAAGAGTGGTACGCTCGAGGGATGTCTGCAACACAACCCTTATGACAAGCCAGAGGGATGATCTTCGCCACGGAAGGTTGCCCTTCGAGCATGAAACATCATCACCTATACGTTTTCGGATACGAAGGATGTCAGCTGGCTCGCCAAAGGCACGAAGGATACCAGTCAAAAGCTCGGTGATATAGCGAGGATGTGCGGTGTCTCCATGTTTGAGAACTGTAGAGCGCCCTTCGGTCATAGTTGCTGCCGAATCTAATACATCACGGTTCATATGCGCAAGAAAGTTCGACAACTCGGGAAGAAAAGTAGGGTTATCCACAGTTGAGTTTGGTACGGCGATTGCAGGTCCTGGATACGAACACAAGAGCTTCCCCTGTGCTGCCATGACAGTAGACGCCAGCGGAGAAACTTCAAAGGATTCAAATATCGTCTTTTCATCGAGCCTACGAAGCACGACAGCTGCATTTTGTGCTCGAATCAGATATGCAAGAACATCTGCAGGGAAACATTGAGATATGCATCGATTCGGGACGAACGCTATGAGCATACCTCCAGCACGCATAGATCGAATTTGCGATTCAACATCCTGTGTCAGAGAAGTAGAAGTCATCGCAACCCCAAGGTGTTCCAGCATCTTCAATAAATGACTCCAATGCTCCTGATCGCTGTCGGGTGAACGGCTCGCAAAATTGCGAGCAGAATCTAGCACCAGATCGAGGAGGGCGCGATCTCTGTCAGCAGTATAATCGTCACACTGGGGCAACTTGATAGGGCAAAATATGTGTGTGATTATGTACTGTAACACGGGAGTTTCTTCGGGCTCGGAGGTAGAAGCCGACATATCAAGGTTCGAGATACGAGATGGATATCCGCCAAGAGCTGCCTGAGGTTGGATCGAGATATTAGGATCGAGAATTTTTTGTACATCTGAATGTATGTCCGCCCCAGATCCCGTGAGCGGATCCATGTTGTTTATGATTTCATAGGCACCCGGAAGGATAGTGCTTGCTGGGTGGACGCCAACATTATCCTCCAAGGTAGACTGGGCTTCCTGTATCATAAATCGTTTAGAGTAAACATAAGAAATTTTTGGATGCAAGTACCTTCGAAGCTGGGTCTTGAGATAATCCTTGGTCCAAGCTACTGAGACTTTGATAAATAATGGAACGCTTGTCGTCGTCCTTGGAAAGATGGAGATGCGATGGCTCCTGGACATTCCTCAGATAGGCGAAGGACTGCGATAACGAGATTGAGTTCTCACCTCGATGTTCTGAATCAACGAATCAATATTAGTGTCGACAATTGTTTGTACATTTGGATGGATGTCTGCCCCAAATCTCGCAAGCGGACTCGTGTGGGTTATTTCTTGGGCACCAAGAAGGATCGTGTTTACTGGGCGGACACCAACATTATCCTCCAAGCTAGATTGTGCTTCCTGTATCATAAATCGTTTAGAGCAAAACATGAGAAAAAGTTTGGATGCAAGTACCTTCGAAGCTGGGTCTTGAGATGATACTGGGTTCAAGTTGCTGGGACTTTGATAAATAGTGGAACGCTTGTCGTCGTCCTTGGAAAGATGGAGATGCGATGGCTCCTGGACATTCCTCAGATAAGTGAAGGACTGCGATCACGAGATCGAGTGCTCACCTCGATGTTCTGAATTGACAAAGCACGTTCATCATCGTTGTTCCGTTGAACGGGGAGGCTGTGGGAACGCCTAAAATGTTTCTGTACGATATCAGCCTTGATTCAAAACATTTATGTCAACATACAGATGTTTTTCTAGTCAAACTCTTGACTTTGCGTAGAAACCGATGGACTCTGCCATGGGGTGGGCTCTGTATGAAGAATGCGATATATTTCATGAGCCCTTATCAGATGGGCTTATCATGATCACGCACTGGGCTTTCATTGGGGTTTGTTTCGTTAAATTCCCGGGCTTCGGCAGGATGAGGTGGTCTTGAATCCATGTCACGGGATTGGAAGACACTACTCATCGCGAACAGTGGGACAGTCTGAGCGAAGTAAGATGCGAAAAGTGCGTACTACTAGTCAGAACAAGGCGTGAACCTAGGGCCAAATCCCACGCCTGTTCCCAAAGTGGTCATACATATTAGGCATGGTGCCAGTGTGGTATTTGGCGCCTTGCGGAATCCCGGGAGAACTTGTATGATACGGTCAAGCTGGGAGTACTAGCTTTCTCTTCGTTTCCTCTTCGAACTCGACGGCTTTTGACACGAGACCACTGAGCAAAGGATCTGTTCTGAAATGTGATTCGTGGAATGGCATACCGTGGTTCTTGAGATTATTGAGTAGTTGGAATTCGACAAATAGACGATGGTTCGTATTCGCAGTAGTCACCAGCTAAGATGTTTGTAAGTTTATCGTTCGAATTCGTGAAAAAATGGGTTTCATGGCGAGAAGCAAGCACGTTCAAGGCAAGCGTGAAGGAAGCATCATCTAGTATGTGCGCCGGAAAAGAAAGACCATCAATGTGCATTTCGGAGTCCCAGGCCGCAGCTACGGCAAGGTGAGCAACATAGCATGACGAAGTGAACAGAATTATTATTGTTACCGAGCCGGCGGCTATTCATGTGCCAAATTCCCAACAGAATATGAAATGCCATTCCAGAGAACGACGCAAGACTCAAAGAACCTCGCAGCTGGTCAGGTTAGATATGGGGACATGCTTCAAGCTTCCTTAAGCTTAAGCTTGAGGTCGGGAATGTCCAAAACCAAAAGTTGGATGCGAGGATAGGGAGCTTAATGATGTCCGAGTCATACCAGTGTTTTTTTGGCCAAACAAAAAACAAAACATCTTGACCGCATTCACCTTTACGATTGACGGATTTATGAATTCCACGCGTCGACACTGGAGACTGTAGGAGCTTTCTTCGAATGGCACACCGGAACCATTGAAAGTTTAACACTTTCATTTGACTGTGCTTTCCTTGCCAGTGCTGCCTTGGATGGCACCATCAAGCTCCCGGGAGTCTGGGCTTTCGAGTCCCGCCGGCTGATTAGTTTCTCATAAGGACGTGGTACGTATCGAATTGCATCGTAACTTCATCCTCACAAATTGTATCCAAGCAGTCGCCCGTGTCTCAAGCTGACGCTCTGCCGTTGTTGAGTCGAAGGGCTCATGTTGCGCAGACGCACTGAAAACCCAACATGGCTAATCCGAGAGCGAAGGCATGATGGGCGCAGTTTAATTCTCAATGGACTCCAGAAACTCTCAGTAGATTCGAATGTTGGGAGGTGTCTTTATGGGATGTCGACACGCGGATATTGGACATGTGAGCATAGGTTTTCGGGGTCCTTGCCAGGTGAAGAAGCCGTTGAAGTTGACGTTGAATAGCTGCACTCACATTCAAGAATTCATCGCTCCCAAGTTCATCGCTGCGAAAGTCTTATACTCTGGGTAACACCAAAATCTCATCTATACCTCCAGCGCAGATGAACTGATGTCTGGCTTGACCAAGGGACTCATCTTCAAAATTACCAGCGCCAGTCATATAGCGCATCGATAGCAGGAGACATTACCTTTCCACCTTTGAACGCTCCCAAAGAATAATTCACGGTTTCGCTCACGGACACAGCTATGGCTTCCACGTCGACGAAGGCCACCAACACAAAACCGACTCTGACACCATCAATGACTTTGAAGGGTCACGACAAATGGATTCGATGCATATCATACTTTCCAGACGGCCAGCGAATGATCAGCGGATCTCCGGACAAGACAGCTCGGCAATGGGATCTGAAGTTGGGCACGGAGATTGAGGAAGCGCGGGATGTTAGCAAGAAGGAGGTGTATGCGGTATCGGTATCAAGGGATGGTCGATGGGTTGTTACTGGCGATGGAGATGGAGATCGCGGGGAACTGAAAGCTTGTGAGGTTGAGACAGGGATTGTGAAAACATTCGAAGGACACTCGGGGAGGATAAACTGCATTGATGTCTCTGCGGATAACACGTTGTTGGCGAGTGGATCTGCCGACTTTACAACGCGGATATGGAACCTGGAGACTGGGAAACTTGTAGCTGGTCCATTCAAGAACGTTGATTGGGTGGGCGCGGTTCGATTCTCCTCAGATTTGAAGAAGCTCGCAGTGACTTCAGCCGTGAGGACGTGCATTGAGGTCTGGGATGTCCAATTGCAAAAGTTGGATGTTAGGGTAGGCAAGTCCCCTGGAGTAGGAATCACATATGCGCCAGTGTTTTGGACAAACAATGACAAAAACATCATAACCGCATTCAACTTCGCTACCTTTGGCTATGCCAGGACAATCTACGAGTTTGACGCGTTGACGCTGGAGACTGTTGGAACTCCCTTCGAAGGGCACACCAAACTTGTCACCAGCATAGCACTTTCATTTGACCATGCTCGCCTCGCTAGCGCATCCTTTGACAACACGATCAAGCTTTGGGATTGCGAGTCCCGCCAACTCCTCGCCTCCTTCGATGTTCAGAATCCTTTTATCCTTGTCCTCTCACCCGACTCACACCAACTAGCTTATGTGACAAACGCTCACACCAAAGATGATTACAAGATCTACATCTGTGATATTCCACCCGACGACGTCCTTGCTCATGCCAGTGTACATCCGCATTCTGCAACATCTACTATCCATGTGCTGACATTCTCCTACAGACAAATGCACGCGAAAAGTCACCCGGCAGTCATCTACTAAATGTGCGCTTCTCATCTTTTGCTTTTTCATTACTCATTTATCATCATTGCAGTCTGATGCGACTCGTCCTACTGTTGGGCACCGCAGACCACCGATATTTACAACAGCTATGTCAGGGAGACCTCCACCTACAATGAACTCAAAGCAACCCATTTTCCTTCGCCTCCACAAACTCCTTCGCTTCTCTCCTCGCACACGCGCAACACGGCTAGATCGAAAGGGTCGACCTAGTGATCCCTTGGATGTCTGTCTCTTTCTCTTGTTTACTTTACAGTTCACTCAACACTCGCACTGCAGTTCCCTGCTACATCGCCCTTACCTCCCAATTCCCTTCACAGAGACAGCTCTCCGTCGACTCTCTTGCCCGGTGGCAGGGCTTTTTTCAATCCCATTCTGTCATCATCTAACAAGGGGAAGCAAAAGGCGCATGAACCCGAACGAAAAACTGCGCAAGTTGTCGATGTTCCTCTCGGACAAGCTACCTACGTTTGTTTTCTACAATTCTGTTGGGTTCGTGAGCTTTGACCACTTCATTCGCTAGGCTGATGTTGTTGGTGTGGACGACGGAGAACGACCATTTGTTCTCTTCTTTTGCCTCAGCTAGTTCCAGAAAAGAGAGAAGAAGGTGGAACCACTGCCAGTCTATGATGACCAACTCGAGGACGAAAATGTTCTTGATGCAGTTGCCCTGCCTCCTCCCGGGTAAAGTCAATCAATTTGTTCACAATTCATTTACTAACACAGTATTTTAGCGTTCAGCACGGAGAAATTGATTGAGAACGATAGTTAGTCGGTCACAGCCTGAAGCAGGAATGTCTCGCCTTGCGGTTACTTGACCACTCAGAGTCATAGTCGTGGTCGTTGAGTATTCAAATATTCATCTGGCTAGTTTTGCAGCTTTATGACCGACCTGCATGTATAGTAAGACTTGTTTTTAAAGAGTGAATATTGTCGCATTCTCCTTTGACGGGCAGGTGATACAATTTAGATATTCCAACTTCGGACCGGAAGGTTGAAAAAAGGGAAGCCCGAGGCCTGCATCTATACCTGACGTGCGCTTGTTCTCCGCCCAGAATGGCATTTCATATAACTTACAGTCGGGAGTGTCTTGTTGGCGATAAGAATAGAAGAGTGTGTCCGCGCGGTACGAGTCCCGGAGGATTTACCTCCGGGACACTTTGCGAGTTCCTTTTTCCTTTCTTGATCCTTATCAACTCTTAGCATCCTCGTGTATCGGTCGCTTCTCCCCGTCTCGGACTTGTCGACCTTTTGTATTTAATCTCTTCCTCGTACGCAGTCCACCTCAGCGTTGTTTCACCGTCCGCTGAGACTTACTTCGTGTCTAGCTCCCACCTCACATAATCCGCGACAACTTTGAACCAGACGTATGAATATAATGTGATGCCATATATATTTCGTCTGCTTCAAAGTTGTGAGCGTTCACCGCGTCAACCTGTTTTTCATCTCTATCTCTCATACACTGACTCAAGCAGGCTGACTTGAGACCCGTCCCTATTCATAGGACACTCGGTTCGCACTTCCTTTGTTTTGCGGTACTAATGGCGAGTTTTAAAACTTCCCTCTCACACAGTCGCATCTCGATTCTCCAGCCACCAACTTTCGACAACCTGCGGGGTACCAGCTGCTGTCATCGATACACAGACTTGCTCATACCGCTGTTCTATTTCACACTTCCTCCCTGGTATCCATCTAACTTACCGTCTTGGCCTCAATTGCGCCTTGTGATTTGTTGGGGTGATGGATGTTGGACTCTGGTACTCACAAGTGGTAAGATTTAACCTGAATATGATATTGTATGCCGTTGACAGCGTTTTAGACGTTGTATTTTCACACTACAAGTTTCCGGTGTTCGACACGCATACACTGTATGGCAATATCGATCTTGAATTCTTGGAACGGGCACTCCATTTCAGCATCAAAGAGATGTTCAAAGATCAGAAGTGACTGAACTCATGATGTGGTCGGCACATAATCAGGCCTCAGGGACGAACAAAACGGGCGCTGAAACATCCACGTGTCTGTAACATTGCGTGTACGTATACTCGGAACAGTTTGTTTTGATGGAACGGTGATCTCATGATCAAGGAATTCATCACCTCTGGTACTCTTTTCGCGTGCTCTATACTTACAGCCCATACTTCTCCGAGTAACTTGTTTCGTTGGAGCGTTTAGGGAGCTAGGATGTAAATCATCGTTGGACCTCAGACACCAATTCTACCTTGTCAGTGTTTCGCTGTTGCTGATTGTATATCGCATCTAATTAAGAGATGGATTGAGGTTATACTGACTATGGTTGTTGTCAGGGCGCTCTTATTCAACATCTCTTGAGCGTGCTGTACTTCAGATGCAAGAGCTCCCTTTGCAGCCCAACGCGCAAGTCACCCTCAGTCGACTCCAGATTCAGAGACTAGGTCCAATCTCTGATCCAAATTCCCAGATAACCTTTGCCGTCGACCAGAATTAGCTTGTATGATGAGTGAATTTCTCTGTTCCGTCTCACTGCGCTCGCTCATATCTGATTTGTTTCTGTGTAAAATGAAAATGAATCAGTAGTGGCGTTCTCTCCGGGAGACTTGAAGGGCTCCCGATATCGGCGAACACTGCGTGTATTTTGATTGGTTGATATGTGCAATGCCCTTAGATGCCATAACGCACAGTCAAGGCAAGTTTATGTAGTTTCACTCGCGCAAGCTGACTGATGGTATTCCTGCAGAGTGTCCTATCAATACCAGCGCTGTTGTGACAACCTCACTGATCGTATGCCTCTAGCGTGCTACCCTCGTTGTATGCGAGGCTTCGTAGCAGTGGTCCTGGAGAGCGGGTCTAAGGTGACGGTCATAACATGATAAGTCTTGCATCGTTCTGGCCCTTCTAAATTCTGAGTACGGGTACTCACTTGTTGATCTCAGCGTCAGAAACATTCAGAGATCGGAACATTCAAAGGTGATCTCCGTGTTGTCCCACAGTATCAATAACAACTGTTCAAGCGTCGGCTGGTGTCCAAAGCAAAACTGTGATGAAGAGCGATCAAAGAAGAAAGTCGAATGCTAAAATTGGATACTATAGCATATACAACGTTTTTGGGCTTTCCAGATACGCCAAGACTTAGAAGCACAGGTGGGAATAAACAACGAATTGATATCCTCTAGCACAGAAACTGAATATCGAATCGAAGAATAAATATAGCACATCTTACAGATAATAACTTCGCCCACGTTGTATATAGGATTCTTCCCTCTCTATCATTGCTGTGCTCCAACGAAGACCTTTTCTGTGCTTGGCTGCAAAACAGTTTTGCTCACAGAGACGTAGCAATGGCTTCTACAACAACAAAGGCGGCTGCCATGAAATCGATTCTGACACCGTCAATCACTTTCGAAGGTCATGGAGGGTTGATTCGATCAATATCCTACTTGCCAGATGGCGAGCAAATAATCAGCGGATCCCAGGATAAGACCGTTCGGCGATGGGATCTGAAGGCTTGTGGAGAGATCAAGAGCGCGCGCCGTGTTTCCGAGAATGATGTATGGGTAGTGGCAGTATCGGGGAATGGTCGATGGGTTGTCGCTGCTGGTGGAGATTGGAATAGTACGGAGCTGAAAGTCTGTGAGGTCGAGACTGGGATTGTGAAGACATTTGAAGGACACTCAAACCAGATCACCTGTATTGATATCTCTGCGGACAGCACGCTACTGGCGACCGGGGCTAAAGATTTCACAGTGCGGATATGGAACTTGGACACAGGCAAACTCGTAGCTGGTCCATTCGAAAGCGTCGCTTGGGTGGGCGCAGTTCGATTCTCGCAAGACTCAAAGAAGCTCGCAGTCAGGTTAGATATGGGGACATGCCTTGAGGTCTGGGATGTTCAAAAACAAAAGTTGGATGTGAGGATAGGGAAGCTTTATGGAGTCGGAGTCCTACCCGGTGTGCCAGTGTTTTGGACAAACAAAAACAAAAACATCTTGACCGCATTCACCTTTACGGTTGACGTTGCCTTGACGATCTATGAATTCGACGCGTCGACACTGCCAGAGACTGTAGGAGCTTCCTTCGAAGGGCACACCGACACCATTGAAAGTTTAGCTCTTTCATTTGACTGTACTTTCCTTGCCAGTGCTTCCTCTGACAACACCATCAAGCTCTGGGCTTTCGAGTCCCGCCAGCTCTTGGCTTCCTTCGACGCTTATAAAATCCACACCCTTATCTTCTCACCAAACTCGCACCAGTTGGCGTATACGACACACAACAAAGATGACTACAAGATCTACATATCAACACTCCACCCGACGTCCTTGCTCAGGCTAGTGTACGCATTCCTCGCAAATGTCTATTGTTCGTGTCCCTAACATTCTCTTACAGATCAATGCACATAACAGTCGACCCTTAATGATTTACTACATGTATGTATCTCATTCCTTTACTCACTACACCACTTATCCATCGCTATAATTGCAGTCTGACGCAACTCGTCGTCCTCCTGCGGGGCGCCTTAGACAACCGATATCTGTCATACCTAGACCGCAAAGACCTCCGCCTACAATCGACTCGCAGCAACCTGCTTTTGTCCGCATCCGCAAACTTCTTCACTTCTCTTCTCGTACGAATGTGACACCTCCTGCCCAACCTCGTAATCCCTTGGATGTAAGTCGTACAACTCGGTTCTTATACCATTGACTCGACTTTGGAACCACAGGTCCCCGCTACATTGCCTCTACCATCCTCTCTCTCTGGGCAGACCGCAACTCGGTTTGATCATGTCAGTCTTCAATTTGTAGTAATCATGACTAGTACTGAGTGCGCATCAAGTTCGAAATGAGTTCTCCGCCTCACCCCTCAAACCGAGTCACGCAGTTCCTACGGCAGCGTCTCTCATTCCTTGTACCAAGACACAGCCTCGTGCCTCCAGTGGTTGAAGTCGCACCGGGACGAAAGGTCACTGTAATGTAATGTCCTTACTTCTCGGTGCCTTTTGCTGATCTGTGGCCTACAGCGACTCGCTGCTGCCAAACTACCGGAATACAAGAAAGTAGACGATACCCGACATCCGTCTAGCCAGCAGGCTACCATGCCGCAGGAAAATGACTCAACTGACATTGATTCGCTCCCAGATGTGCATTGGTGCAAGGCATTCCTGTGCTATTATTCGTGCTGGTCTCACGGTAGACTGAGGATGCCTCCGCGATGGCGCTTGGAGCGGGTTGACGTACCCCGCCAGGGTGACACAGCAAATAGCAGCCATACTGGTGCTCATGGTCGCAGTTAACTTTGTGTACACTTGTCTACTGCTGTATCCTTCATAACTGATGGTTTCACTTATATATCAGTTCTAGCGCTATCTGCGATACTCAGTACATCTTCCAAACCCCACAGCATGCGTGAATCGGATTATTATACTTACTCATCCTCACTGAGCGGGATGTTGATCTGGTCAGGATCGAAATGACATCATCCTACATCATCACGGACTAGGTGAGACATTTTTTTCCGTCAGAATTCGGATGTCTCACAATTGCTCTCTCACATATATAAGACCGCCGTCTGAATTGATCTTGCCTGCTTTCTACCTTCGCTCGTTTCAGTCCTCCAACCTCATATCACGATTGTAGTTTTCGATTGGACCACACTTCACCACAAACTCTGTGCGATCTAACGAGTCTCGAGCATCCGACTTAGACTACACGACTGTCTTGGAATCTAGCTGGATACCGAGTCCCGCCTAACCAGTAATATCTTCCATGTCGATCTCCCAATCTCCGCATCTCTGGTAGACCCGATTCTGACGATCTCGTTTGTCTGGCGAGTTGTTGGACCAGGCTCCTGTCCATCTGGGCTTGGAACTTCAATGTTTTTTCTATGGTATTCGATGTCACACCTCAAATCTGCGAACTTGGTTCGATCCAGTATGCGATCCAGATCCAACAGAACTCGGTCTCACCAGGTCAGGCTTCATTCGACCAAGAGGAGCATCTTTATTCCAACTGTTTTTTGTCCCTCGTTGGTTCAGCACAGCCCTTCTATTCTCCTGTTTACTATTCCAAGTCGGTCTCCGCTTCTTGTGTCTTTGTTTTGACGATCTTGTTTGCCCTTGGTTTTTGTACGGCCGCTTCAAGTTTCGATTGATCCCCGATCTTCTCGCGCATCTCCTTTCTTGATGGACCCTGCTCGTTCGATGGCACGATGACGACTGGCCTGCAAAGAAAACGCTGATACTGGACGCTGCAATGGGCACGGACTGCAAGGGAACCCAAGGCCAAATTTCTATAACGGGGGGCTACGGCTCCATCTATCGAGGACCGACTGACACGCTACGCTACCGACTACGAGCCAGGACTCCTGGCGCTCCACACTACATTTCCCCCCTCCTCAAATGCAATCGTCCACCGTTGCACAATGAAAGATGAATGTGCGGAAGTGCGAGGACCTGCTCCACACCACCCTGGTGCAACGCTCTTCGTCGGTTTGTTTTTAAATGCTTCTGACAGACGTCCTTGGCTTGTCTGAATTACCCGGTTGCGTCAACTTCGTGATCATCTGAGACTCAGACAAACATCTCCAACGTTCGTACCCTGGGCTACTTTCATCTCATAACGCTACTGAACTGCCCCCATAATATTTCCTTTCCTTTCACAATTCATCCTGGTCATCACCGTACTTTGCATCGACTTCGAATTTGGTCCGGTGGGCACTCCCTGTTGTGATTACCAGCTCTGGCATTACATGCTAATCGAAAAAATCGGTTGGCTTTCTACCGCTTTTGCGAACGACCCTTTAACTTTTGATTTTACAGGGGTCCCTTATGCTAAACAGTGTTTGAAGCCTAGTACGCCGGTCCTCGGTTTGCCCCATCCTTCTCTATGGTCCTGCACAAGAAACTCGTATTAACTATATCGAGGTCGTCGCAAACATACACGGACAAGCCTCGATAGTCCTGGAAAAGTGCAGGTATGGTAGGAGTTTGAGATACAAGTCGACCAGGAATGTGGAGGTATACGATGAGATAACACGGCGGCGGTACGATGATATGCGGTTAGGATTGAGGGTTGTGTTTTGACACATCAGTCTGAAACGAGTAGGTCTCTTGTGTGTAGGGCTGAATCGTTACTGAAGTTCACCGTGAACTTTTCACAGGCAAATACTACAAAATGGTTAGTTCCTCATCGATCATCGAGCATACTCAAAATTCTGAACACGAGAAGGCAGTAAGATATCCAAAAGCTCCCAGGCTAACAGCTTCATTGATACATGCACCGTCGATGAGGCGCAAGTCCTCAAAAATTCCGTCTCAAATATATATGTATACATGAGTCACCGTTGCCTCAGGTCCGAGCACCAATCCTGGTAGCCGTTCCTTCCTTATCTTGGTGGTTTCTAGATTCCTGTGGCGTCTAATGTTCACAGCTGGAAGTCTGAGTCAACTTGTGGACATGGATATGTCCTATCAATCGACTTAGAACATACTCTTTCTCCAATTCCTTCACGCACCGTCAAACTCATTCTCGCGAGTGAGAACTCTGCTTTTCCCTCACCCGCACTCTATGTACCGTCTTGTCCGCAGTGTGACTCAGTGTTGTATGCTTTCTTGATCAGTACGCGAGGAAAAATTTGTGCTGTGCACTTGTTGGAAACGTCGTCTATAGTGGGAGAGGCTGTGTGGGATTGATGACTCGGAAAGTAGGATTTGGGTAGAAATCTTCTGCGTAATTGGATGAAGGTGGCTGAGACTTATCGTAAATACTCACTGCACCACCACCCATTTCCTTTCAATTCTCCCTTTTCGCAGCCCCTTCAGCGTCTCGCACCATGAATTTGCCAGACGTATCAGTGTTTAGAAGTTCAGAGGCGTGACAGCGCATGTAATGAGATGGTGGTGACTGGCGCAGAGGAAGTGGATGACGGTGGTGCGTGCACGTTGGGAGGTGAGTGTTTGTGACAGAACCTTTGTGGGGATGTGTGAGTATAGGGTTCTTGGGTCTGTTACCTTGGGCTCGGGCTCAAAAGCTATGAGGCATTAATTGGACGATTGAATAAGCGAGAGGTTCATTAGGACGAGACGCGTGTGGGGAATAGAGGCCCAGGATGTTTGGCGTTGGGTGATCTTGTGAGCGAAGAGACCGAAAACTATGAACACTGAAGAAAAACATTCAAAGTTGATCTGAATAAGGTCTCAATCTTTCTCCGGTATAGAGAGACTTAAGCCAGATGATGAAAATCAAGCAACAATGTATACGGTACTCAGTATACTTGGACCACCACCCGAGCAAACCCCGGGCCCATCTGTATACCAAACAACAATAAACATCGATCAAAGCAAGCAGAAGATATTCTCTTCAATTGCTCTTCAATCTAACGATGGAGCCGAAACCTGCTTTCTTTCACTGAAACCCTCTTGATCTGCAGTAGCTTGATTTCATCAACATGAAAGGGTACATTGCGTCAATTTTTCTCGTGGCTCTCACTTTGGCGTATCGTTTGTGTTGGGGTGTTTTCGGGCCATAACGATAAGCTCGAATCGTTGCTGGACTTGAAATACACCAACGCGTGTTTTGTTGACATATCTCGTCGATATGCTACTGCTACTGTCCCATATGATCCAGTCAGTCAGGTTTGAGGTTTCACGATTCTCTGCTTACCCCGAGCACCATCAGGGTGTTCTTGGCATTCCTGAATCTTTGAGCGCGCACTCCATATGACTTTGCTCCTCTAGACACAGAAATTCCATTGACATGCTGCATGCTCATATGTCACTTTCGCAAGCTGAATGGTTTTCTTACGATCCTATGTTGCCTGTCAATGCTGATCAGTTGTTCATAAGGACGTGGTACGTATCGTATTGCATTCTAACTTCGTCCTCACGAATTCTATCCAGGTAGTTGCCCACGTCGAGTCGAAGGGCTTGTTAGGCAGATACACTGGAAACTAAATCGAACTCGCCAGCGACAATGATGTACATGTTACATCAGACCCGATGTTGACCAGTTGTTAATACGTACGTGTCTATCACATTCTAGATTAACTCTCGCATGAATTGTATCTAGGCAGCTGCGCAGACCTCAGGCTGTCATTCTAACGTTGGCCAGTTAGGCGTGTTACTGTCAGTACGCAAGGAATTCAACTCTCCAGCACCAGCGATGCACATACCATACCATCTTCGACCGACCCGCAGTCCACCATCTCCAACTGGTTAGTAATCCTGATCAGCAGTTTATCTTCTCTCCCTCTCAGATCTCCTCGCTTACGTGCCACTCTCGTCATGCCCAGCAGTTGACCCTCTTGTATTGATTACTTACTAATTCAATTGGAGTACTTACCGTTTTAATGCCGATGATCTCCTTCATTGCAATCCTCGTGGTTCCAGTGGGATGGAAGTCCAGCATATAGACTCAGCCATATTGATGGTTTCCAACATCCAGACCCGGCTGATAGTTTGCTGTACAACCCGATTGAGCTGACTTCTCGAACAGGCGCTGATCGAAGATGGACAGATATTCCAGGTCAACATCTGTATGGATCACATCTGTGTTTCATTCGGTCTGCTTCAAAAGGGTCGTCCATGGGGCTTCGAGAGTGGAATCCCTCCTGCGGGTCCATGGTGTAATCTCTGGGGAAGTCGAATGCACCCCCAAGATGCTGCGCTTGTCCTGTGCAAGCATGATGCTGAGTGCGTGAGCAGATGCTGTGCAACCTAACCGAGTTTACCACAGCAGTCGCACCAGTGGCGCAGCATTTTTCTAATGCCCCCGTGGAGAAGCACATACGATGAACAAAAGGATGCAGGGCACAATGCACAGCTGCCGTGTGGTAGGGTATATATGTGCGAAGCGGCGCCTAAGGCCAATAGCTGCACTCGCATCCAGAAATTCACCATTCCTCAAGCTCTTCGCTGGTAAAGTGCTGGCCTCTCGGTAACACCAGATTATCATCTGTATCCCCAACGCGGATAAACTGATGTTTGGCTTGACCAGGAGCCCATCTTCAAACCGCTGCCAGTGTCAGTCATATCGCGCACTGATAACAGCAGACCTCACTTTCGCACCTTTGAACGCTTCTAAAGGAATACCTTGCCCATACTACTTCACGGTTTCGCTGACGGAGACACAGCCATGGTCTCTGTGCCGACGTCGAAGGCAGCTGCTACGACATCGATCCTGACACCGTCAATAACTTTGAAGGGTCACGGAGGATGGATTCGATCTATATCATATTGTCCAGATGGCCATCAAATGATCAGCGGATCTGATGATAAGACCGTTCGGCAATGGGATCTGCAGGCGGGAAAAGAGATTAAGGAAGCGCGGGGTGTTTGCGAAGGGAGGGTATGGGCAGTGGCAGTATCAAGGGATGGTCGATGGATTGTCACTGGTGGTGGGGATTGGAATAGTGCCCAGCTGAAAGCCTGTGAGATTGGGACTGGGATTGTGAAGAAATTCGAAGGACACTCGGAGAGGATCAACTGCATTGATATCTCCATGGACAACACGCTGCTTGCGAGTGGGTCAGAAGATAAAACAACACGGATATGGAATTTGGAGACCGGTAAACTGGTAGCTGGTCCATTCGAGAGCCTCATTTGGGTGGGCGCAATTCGATTATCAACAAACTCGAAAAAGCTCGCAGTGACGTCAAATGTAGGGAGGTCTTTTGAGGTCTGGGATATCCAGTCACAGAAATTGGATGTCAGAGTAGGGGAATATGAGGTAGGAGGCACGTCTGCGCCAATATTCTGGACAAACAACAACGAAAACTTCATGGCCGCACTCAACTTCACCACAGACGATGATGCTAGTGCAATCTATGAGTTCGATGCGTCGACGCTGGAGACCGTCGGAGCTCCCTTTGAAGGGCACACCAAACTTGTCACCAGCATAGCACTTTCATTTGACCACTCTCTCCTCGCCAGCGCTGCCTTTGACAACACCATCAAGCTCTGGGATTGCGAGTCCCGCCAACTTCTCGCTTCCTTTAACGTTCAGAATCCTAGGGCCCTTATCCTCTCACCCGACTCACGTCAGCTAGCTTACACGACAAACACCAAAGATGATTACAAGATCTGCATCTGCAACACTCCACCCGACATCCTTGCTCATACCAGTGTACGTATTCCCCGCAAACATTTATTGTTCGTGTGTTGACATTTTCTTACAGACCACTTCACACAAAAAGTCAGCCTGTAGTGTTTTACTAGATGTGCGCGTCTCATTCTTTTGCTCATTACACCACTCACCTGTTGCTATCACTGCAGTCTGACGCAACTCGTCGTCCTCCTGCTAGGTACCGCAAACCACCAACATCTGTCATACCTATAGCACCAAGACCACCGTCTGCAATAGACCTGCAGCAACCCATTTTCGTTCGCCTCAGAAAATTTCTTCACTTCTCTCCTCGCACGACCACAGGACACCCTGGTGGGAACGGTCAAACTCATGATCCGTTAGATGTATGTTTTTTCCTCTTGTTTCTTTCACAGTTCGTTCAACACTCGCGCTGCAGTTCCCTGCTACATCACCCTTACCTCTCAATTGCCCTCGTGCAAACAGTCCTCCACCAACTCCGTTGCCTGGTGCCAGGGCCTTTTGCAATCATGTTCGGTCGCTGTCAGACAAGGGAAAGCAAAAGGCGCGCGAACCAAAAGGCACAACTGTAAAAGTTGTCGATGTTCCACTTGGACAAGCTACCTACGTTTGTCTATAATTACGTTGAGTTACTGAGTTCTGACCATGTCATTCACAAGGCTGATGTTGTCGGTGTGGACGACGGGCAACGACCATATGTTCTCTTCTTTTGCCTCAGCTGGTTCCAGAAAAGGGAGAAGAAGCCGGAACCTCGGCCAGTCTATGATGACGAACTCGAGGACGACGAAAAGGACGAAGATGTTCTTGATACAGTCGCCCTGCCCCTCAGGTATACCAAACATATTTGTTTACAAAAATCATTCACTAACGCAGTCTTTTAGGGACCAGCACGAAGACATTGAATTGAAAACAATTAGCCAGTCGCAACCAGAAGCAGGACCATCTCGCCTGGTCGAAGTCGCTCTCCCACGGGAGACTGAGATCGCGCCGATAAAACCAGGTTGGACCACTTGACGATCAAACCGCAAGGGAGTTTCACCGTCGATTTCTGGAGGTGTAGAAGACATACATCTCGGGATCCCTCACAGACCAATGCACCTCGATTGCTTGGTAAAGTGGCTCTCCCACTGTGATCGAGAGCTACGCGTGTCAAGACTATTAAAATATTGCTCGCATGGGAACATCTTCAAACCCAGTATATTTACTCCATGGTGCGGGGTCAGCGAAGAAATTTCCATTCTTGCACTGCCAATGGACCAACTGATGATACTGTATCTTTGTGAAGGCCGCGAACCATTTTATGGGTTCCGGATATCTTTAGAGAGGTCTTCAAGAAACTGGAGAACGAGATTGGCGTCAGCACGTAATAATTCCCCGATCTAAATCATTCTTGGGACACGAGTGAGCGATAAACATAGTATGCAGAGACAGAAGCATTCACCTTGAGCGCTTGAACACGATATCTAGCGCCTCGCGTATTCCAATATGCATTGACTTAAATTTTACCAGTCGTTGGCGCACGTGCAGATAAGGCAGAAATATCGATGCACGATGTTTGATTTCAGAGCGCTTCGTTCATCCCAGAAAATGTGTTTATTACAAGTTATAGGTTTCTAGAGTAATGCAGACAGGAAAAAAGCTAAAGCTAAAGGTAACGCAGATGAATAGCGAGGACAACATGAGGCGAGGACAACGTGAGATAGGCATGGTATCCAGAATGATATAAGAGATACGATGGAGTAGCGTTCGACGATGAATGGTGAATAGCATGTGTGTACGGAGGCAGATACAATATCATCAAAGAAAAGGATTCATCCCTTATATAAAGTGAAATTTATCCGAGAGGCTTGTACGAGTATTCGTCGGCGAGAAAGTGGAGTAGCAGGGCGTTCACCTCGGATGCGTGAGTTACAGTGAGATCGTGGCCACCATCGCTGATGGTGACGAGGTCGGCTTGCGGTACGAGACTCTGTATCATAGAAGCGTATTTATAGGGGACAGTCTTATCTGATGTGCCCTTTATTGAAATAGTCAGCATTGTAGTGGCAGATTGATGGGCGATCTCTTACATGAATAAGCAACACTTGATTGCCAGAGCGTGCGAGCGATTGGAATGCAAAGTGTAGGCCGCGAATAGGGCCGTCGCGAAGAGAAGATGCTACAGCAGCGTTATAGTGAGGGAGATGAGCGGTTTGGAGACGTAAAATCTGAGGGAATAGCACTCAGTAGTTGTAAGATAGGTGGTCATGAAAAAAACAGACTTCTTGTATCGGATTGGTTTCACAAGGTTCCGAGGATTTAGAGGTATTTGCAAGGAGACGCATGTAATGCTATGTCAAAGTCAGACGAGAGAGAAAAGGGAGCAGTCCCTCAAGCTTACTTGGAAAGGTGGGAGGGCGGATACAGTTTGCACGAGGGGAGTTGACATGAATTTTGCCGTACGAGAGATATCGCTCGACTATATTAGATAAGTTAGATTAAGTATTTGCCACGTTTGTTGCCGATTACCTCTATGATACCTGCTGAGGCAATAAGAGCGACTTTCCCGTTTACCAGATGAGGGAATTGTGCTGAAAATGCAGTCGCAATGCCACCTCCCTGTTTGCAATCGAAGAGAGATTAGGCAGTAGATCAACGCAAGAAGACAAATTTACCATCGACAATCCAACAATGAATGCATTGTCCCACTTAACGTATTGCATAAGGAGCGCGAGTTGGGTGGTGTGAAGGGTGGTATCATAAGTTACTTCGGGGGCATCCGAGTAACCGCGACCGTACAAATCTACGAGATCAGTGGGTTCGGAACATAATGCGCATCAAAAGACAACAACACACCATAGAGAAGTACACGGTACCCTTGTGAGGCGAGTACAGGCGCTACGTCTTTCCAGACGATGGCCGGGATGGAAAGTCCATGTATCAAAACAATCTAGCAGTCATGATAAGTACATGACACTCGCGCACACACACAAAAACGCACACGCTGCCCGTCCTCCGGTCCTATGAGCCAATATCGCACCTGGGTAATGTACTGCGTCAGCACTTGAACACGAGAGCGCTTCAGCAAAGTACGTACCCGTCCTAGAGGTAAGTTGGCATATGCACCTCCACTATACAAGTCCTCTGGATATACATTCCACGATGGCGATGAGCTCGGAAGATGTGCTAGGGATGTATGGATGATGGGTAAAGTAGGTGGCCGCGGGAAATTGGCCAAGAGATAAACGGTGAGAAACAGTGGGGGAATGACTATGGCCAGATGGTGAAATGGGGTTAAGCGCATCGTCGCTGATAATGATGAAGATATGCACAAGAAGGGTAGAAGTAATTAATATCACGCACAAATCGCGTAAAACATGAAACGCACGTACGAAAGCCGTAGCGTTCTCCAAAACAGGAGCCGGCATAATATTGTCACATGACTACAGCTTATGCAGCTCCGACAGATCACGTGACGTGCACCGCGCGTTGGGTTGGCGTTGTTTGGCTTTTTGATTTCTTGCGGCCGACGACTCCTTGCTCATCGTCACCCACGACGACCACGACCCGTACTGACAAGGCCTCTCACTGCCAGTCGTGATGAGCAACGAATATCCACCCTTGGCTCTTGATGACCTTGTTCATATCATGTCCCTCTCCCCGGCGCCACCACTCGCAACACTGGATGACTCTCAACTACCCCTCCGCCCCAAAACCACATCTCCCAGGCCCCAAATTGACAATGGCATACGAGAGGTGCGCATGAATATCACGGAAATGCATGATCTTGATGGAGGGGAGAAAGAGCTACCTGATATGGTGCGTTATGTTTCGTTTCATACCATCGCAGGACGTTTGACTTGAATTTCATATCTATACTAATAGGTGGTGAGGGAAACTGGTGTCGTGAATCCTGACCCAGAGCAAGTCATTAGACAGGCTGAGATTATATCCTGCCTAATTGTCCAGCGCGATATGCTTGTGCGACAGGCGGAGGAGCAGAGATTGCGGTGGAACTCAGAGAAGGATGGTTGGGCACGGATGGCCGAAGCACTTATTACACAGCAGACCAAGCACAGGAGCTCGTCTGACAAGGATGAAGTAAGTAAATTTTCTCTCCTTTTAGAGATGTTGGTTTAGCAAGACTGCATGGTCGTCTTGATAAATCACTTTTCACGCCAATTACTCGGCCACGATACTGCTGGCAGCAAGCTAGTCTCATAGACATGTAAACAAGTCATTACACTTTTGTCGTCCTCCTTGCCCTTTTTTCTCCGGATTACCAGTAACTGACTTTGATTCAGGAGCTTGAGCGACAACGTGCTATAACTGAAGCAGACAATCGAAGTCTCCGCCAACGAGTGAGCTTGTCCTTCCATCATGCATCCCTATCGCTAATCTCCCACCAGCTTCATGAAACTCAATCGCGTCTCTCCATTCTCGAAGGTGAATTATCCCGCCTCCGCCCCTTACTTCTCATGCAACCTCTTGCATTAAATGGGCATCCCACCCTGAATCAAGTACCAAAGGCTCGTCCACACCGGCGGAGAAGAAAAGATCCGCCAACTACGGAGGACGAAGACCCTGGCCCCGATCCTTCTGACGATGACCATCCAGGAGACCCTGAGGATACGCCTACGACCACGCCAAAGCAGAAATCTCGTATAACTGCAACAAGTCTCCATACACATCCTTCCAAGCGCCAGCACTCTCAAAGACGTGCACCGCGAGTTCTAACTGCGGATGCAAGAACGGAACACTTGCTGCTAGCGGCAAAGAGAATTGGAAAACAACGTACCGGCATAATGGCTGGCCTCACACAGGCCCTGGATAAGCGGCGAGAGGAATCAACTTCAACCGTTGTTGCTACCCCCAAGACACCAAAGCGCACGACAGCTGTTCCTCCTGGGCCAGGGTACGTCTATCTTAATAGTTCTATGCGCCCAGGTGCTGTGCCGGTGCTTGTTCCGGCATATTCACATCACCTGCTACAAACCCCAAGCTCTTCTAAGACAGCAGCTTCGGCATCTTCCTCCACCCACCAACTGAAGAAGCAGCAAGGTGCGCGTACCCAGAACCCACCAACGCCTCTGGATTCCCTTTTAAGTGCAGCAAGGTCAATGATGGATAATGAGGAAGATGAGGAAGAGACTGTCATTGGCACGAGGCGTTCGCGATCAAGCGAGATACCTGACAGTCCTGTACCGAAGCGCAGGAAAATCGTCGCTCGGGACAAGGTCAGTGCGCTCAGAGAACAAACGAGAGATCAAGGTGCAGGACAGCCGAGCAATAGCTCAGCTGGCTCCAGTTCAACTGCTGTTGGCAGGATTAGATCAGGGCTGGACGTTCTAGCTGACCAAGCTGCCGCATTCTCTTCACAAGATCAACAGAATCAATTGGAACCTCACTCACTGCCTAAGGGTAAAGGAAAGGAGAAGGCTTCCACGATTGCTGATAAATCCCCCGACAATCAGCTGAGAGAAAAAAGCAGATCAAAGAGAAAGCAGTCCGTATCTGACGTTGCGCCTCAGCCCCCTCGGTCCCGTCGCCCCTCACCTTTGCCCCGAGCAAATGCAGTTGACTGGGGTTCTGGACCGCCAAATCTACGTCCAGTTCAGTGGACCGAGGGACCTATACAAGTTTCGTCAGAGGACCACGGTTCTACCCGTGAGATCGCAGCCGCCTCTCAGCCTATAACAATACCCCCTACCCCTCCTCCACGACCTGACTCGGCTGATCAAGCGATCCATGATACTCCCAGCAGCGCGGCTACACCACCACGTATTCCTCTCGCTGAACCCATTCCTGATCCCAGCGTGGATACGCCCCCCAGTCAGTCCGTACTCCTTGATCCATTTCTCGTACCTTCTTCTCCTCAGAATGAAAGCTCCACCGGTGTGGCCTCATCATCTGCACTACACCAACTACACCAACGGGCAGTCACGGCCCCGATTAGTAGCTGGGGAGATGCCCCGTCTGATCTACAAGCTCATCTGCGACACGAGACCGCTCCTGGAAATACTAACGCAGGGAGCGCTGATTCTGTCACTGATAACATCGGACCGAGTTCTGGTCCCGCAACTGGAATTGAATCTTTGGCAATCACGAAGAACAAAGAGGTCACTAGGGTTGTGGGCCAAGATGTCCCAAAGAGGCAGCGAAGCCCTTACGTCAAGTGGAGCAAGGAGGAGGATGATCTACTTGCCCAGGTCAGTGTTCTGTGATTATACAGCAGCCAAATCATTGACACGTTTTGATAGGCTGTCGCCAAATATGGACAGAAATGGGACTTGGTTCAGAAAGCGTTGCCATCGAGGGGATATCACCAAGTTCGGCAGCGATGGCTTCGCAAACTAGGTACGCTGCAAAATATTCATTACTTGCTCCCGAAGCTTATCCGACTCTAGGGGTCTTCGACAGCAAGCCAGACTTGTCTTCCTTCCAAACTGGTAGCTTCCCATCTGCCTCGCGTTTAGGAGAGACGCCAGGATCACCTGTCACAGCTGAACCTCCTCCAAATCCGAAGCTAGGACTTGCTCCGTTGAGCAGTGAACTTGCTTTTTCGTCGTTTTTATCTGGAAGAGCGGAAAGTCGATCGTCGTAACAAAATTCTAGCTGCTTTGGTAATTGCTGAGAGTATTGTACCTTACTGTTCATTACTAGTGGCACCCGCCGGTCATAGTGTAATTGGTAATTGTTGTGCGGGTATTATGTAGCAGTTGCTTGATTTTATCGGAATGTAATGAAGAACGCGACACTTGGGTGACTGCGAGTTGCGCTGCTGGCTGCGGCTAATTCTTATTCAAAGAAGTTGATCAAGTCTTTGAAGACGTGCAAGAGTGGGCATCGTGGAGAGAAGGGCAAAGACATTTTTTGGTGGCAAGCTGCGAGCAGAAGTGATTCCAAACTTTTTACCGTAGTCCGCATGTTTCGCCTCCTAGTATAGTATCCACTCTGTAGTACTACGTAATCACATCGATCGATGGCATATACGAGTACTGACAAAATACGACAAACAGCGATCCTACATTAGTACGCTAACAATTAAGTTCTTGAGCTTCATAATGAAGACACGAAATAACGAGTCCAGGTCCGAGTCCATATGATGAAATTCACTCTCCGGTGTCTACCGTTTACACGATGTTCACCGTCGCGTTGCGAAATTCGAGGAGCGGGTACCAAACCACCTACAGGATCAGCCTCAGACTACGAATGGAGATAAACACTGAATATCTCGTACCCCAATGAGGCAAAGGTGCGTGAGCGTAAAGATAGCAGGACCCTTTGCAAGGTTAGACGGTATGGTCACGGTGAAGTTCTGGTAGTAAATATAAGAAGGGTCATGGGCCTCAGGTGTCCAAGGGCCTGCGTAGAGATAAAATCCTAAACCATCTGCAGGGTCGGGGCATGAACCGTTCTCGCAGTGATCGATTGCTAAGGCAATGCCAACCTGAACGGTAGGTGCCATGGCTTGCTAGGGTCGAAGTTGTCAGAGTGACGCATGATGCTGAGAAGCGAACCAACTACCAACCGGTTTAATAACCTGAGCAGTCACTTGCTGACCGGGGGAGAAGTTGTCCCCATTCTGAGGGAACCCTAGTTCGATTGTCTGAGCCAAGGTAGCGGATATCCCTACAGCAAAGGCACTTGAAGAGCATGTCAATGAGAAGTTGAATGTGAGGGTTTTCAAAGGCGGTTTCTATGTCTTGCTTGTATGGCGGGTAACTTTATACCCAAGGTGGCATTGTTTACAGCGGAATTGAGTTTCAAATGATGGATATACTGCGTCACGGATTGACTCATCGGACGGCTTGAGGGAGAACAATAACCAGAGTGAGCGTAAATGTTTAATCTACGTGTGCGGGGACCTAGGTTGGTCAGGGTCCGAGCCTGTTGCGGTAGAATTCAATTCCGTATGCCTGAGTTTGTGATAAGTTCACCTACTAGAATGTACAGCGTAGTCGGATGTATCGGACCTGCCTTGGCCTGAAATCCAGATGGTCAACACCAAGGATGTTGAATACGGCCCTTTGGGCCTGTCATTCTAGCTATAGTGAACGGAAAACAAATTCAGCCATGTGAGATTGAATTCTACCCCAACGGCCTCGGATCCTGACTAACCTAGGTACCCGCGAGCTCTGATGCTAATTCTAAAGCTGAAGGAGTAGTCTCTCGGAAGATTGATACATCATACGAAGCACTTGAATTGCCTAGTAAACCGTTCAGGTGGTCGTGTCGGTCAGAGCAGCAGAAGAAAAAGCTGGCTGCCAGGTGTTTCCAAACTGGGAAGCCCGGGCCTCGACCCCAAAGGCCGGGTCCAACTTGCGCATCACTAGTACGGCTGCAAAGCGCACCTTTGTAATTAAACGAAAGAGGGCGGATCTAATTCTCGTCACTGCCGCAGCAGAATCGTACAGCAGTAGCATTAATGACGAAGTGGGCTACTATGCTCACTCCACTCTGTCTGGACTCCGCCATCAACAAAAGAGCCCGAAGCATATAAGGCCTTGTGAAGCTTACATGAGTACACAAGTCTGTTAACCAGCTTACAAGGTGCATATAAGGTGCATATAAGGCATTAAATTTTGATACAAGCCCTGATATTCAACATATATACTTCGGGCAGCATATATTGACATACATGTTTCAGGCTCTTTTGTTGATGGCATGCAGGAAGACATACTATGCCAAACACACAGCCATCAATGAGTATTGTATATAGAGATCCCAAGCGTAAGTACTCAAAGATTTCATGGGGATCGAAGACCGTAGATATTACTGGTGAATAGAAAGTTTGAAACTTAATTGACTCAAACTTCAAAGGCAGACTGAGTACAGCCTAGTTCATACCTTTCCGAATTCGCCCCACGACGTACTTTGTACGAGTTCAGCAAGACCAGCTTGTAGTTAGCATGCATCATAGTTTGTATGTATTCGGATGTACAGTATGTCATAATCATAATTGTCATAATCATAATATATAGTAAGGATGAAGCTGCAACGATTCAAAATACCTAGAAAGAAAAAGAAACAATGCAACATATCATCCAACGACTCGCCCGGAGCCTAAGTAAAGTTGTAAGTTTCATCAAGATGGTTGATACAGTATTCAAGCAACTCTTCCGATGTCATATTGTCCATTTCGTGAACACTCTTTTCCGGGCTGTCGGTAGACTCTTCCAACTGCTCGTCCGAAGCCGAATCAACAGTTCCATAAAGATCGTCGTCAAGCGAGCCCGAAGCCGAATCGATGGTTTCTTCAGGATTGTTGACCGACTCTTCAATCTGCTCGCCAGAAACTGGTTCGCAAGCTGCTTCAATGTCGAAAAAATCGTTGAACTCCTCCTCCCAACCCGAACTCGTGGTCTCGTCAAGACTGTTGTCGGACGTTTCCAACGACTCGCTCGAAGTCAAATCGGTAGTTTCTTCAAAACTGTTAGAAAAAGGTCCAAACGGCTCGTTAAAAGTCAAACCTTCGCAAGTTTCTTGAGATATCCCGTAAGTCTCTTGCTGGTTGTTGAAACAAGAGTCGCCTATGTTCGAAAAGTCCCCGTCATTTACACTAGCAAAAATTCATATATCAGCTCCAAAGTCACATTTAAAAGCCTAGTAGTACTTACGGCTCGTAATATTCTAGGGATGGGGACCGAGACCTGACCTGCGGGTGGTTCTTCGATTTGATATGATCTTGTATGCCAGCGCGTGGCACTGCAGGCACGTTTTCGCACTGCGACAGGCAGCACTTGTAACGGACCTCGCCATTGTTTTGGACCAGTTCCTGATGAGATAATTGTCAGCATGATAGCTAGAACTAAATACAAAATGGACTCACGAAATCGGGGTAGTCAACAAGGGGGGGAAACGTTTGCTTCTTTCGTGGGGGAGCATCATCGTCATCCAAGTCCACCGCCTTGCGCTTTCCGCGCTTGACAGTGCTCTCCTCAGCGTCAGCTACTGATGCTTGTTCCTCTGGTCCTTGCTCCAAATGCGTGTCGTGGGAAGGTTGTGCCAAGGGGGGTGCTGAAGGATGTTGAGGCGGCGCAGCCGCTGGCGGTGCACCCATACCCTGGAAGGCGGGGGGATACCCACCCAAATGGTGTGGAGGAGGGGGAGAGGGAGGGACTGGGTTTGGCGGTCCGGGGACTTGGCCAGTTGCATGTAAATATTGTTGATAACAATATACGTAGACCTCCGGGGGGTAAGGCCTGAATCGCGAGGGCACAAGTGGAGGCTGGGGCATCATTGGGGGGTAAGGATGAAACCCAGGTTGAGGCGGGCCTGGGCCTGGGCCTGGCATTTGGCCCATTTGATTCCGCTGTTGGTACATCATTGGGGGGTAAGGACGAAATCCAGGTTGAGGTGGGCCTTGGACCGGCACTTGGCCCGTTTGAGCTTGCTGGTACATCGTCGGGGGGTAAGGATGTTGAGGTGGGCCTTGGACTGGCATTTGGCCCGTTTGAATCGTCTCCTGGTACATATTTAATTATCTAGAATAGTTGAGATGAAGTGTGTACGGCGCGAGGCTACAGTCTGTGGCAGGACGAGGTGAGTGACAGAAGGTGAAGTAAGTATACAAGAGTGACTCACAGTACACAAGTTAGATGGTAGATGCGGAAGGCAAAATGCGATGGATGTTGAACAGGAGGAAAGAGACGCAAGTTGCAGTATTTAAACTGTTGAAGCAACCACTACTAGGCGATGAACCGCTACGCTTAGTCTTAACGCGTCCCTTTGTTGCGTTGTGGTCAACAAATTGTTACCCCGGGCCAAGCAATGAATCCACTGACCTTGATTCCGACAATAGTATAACACGCTGGCCACCCGGATATTCCCTGACGCGACTGTGGATATGTTTAAATGGGTATTTATTCGTAATCATCGAACACGGCACGTTAAATATTATTGAATCGAGGGTACTCTCCCTTTGGCTGGGTATGTTCTTCGTGTATGTGCTCCAGACGTTATCGACAGACTTAATATTGCCATCTGAAATTGTATATTCGAAATCTATCGACAAAATCCATTAATCCATTAATATAAACACAACGGACAGGAAGCCAAGTTATCAATACTAACGATGTAGGTATATGGGCAACCACCAATAGAAGGCCGCGTCTCCGGGTTGTCGGGCACACTCCACAAGGACATTGGATGCGAATTCCACGCTTCAGCGACCCATGCAACCACTCTCTCCTCTCATAGAATAGTGGATCGTTGTGCTCTTTAGTAAGCACCTCACGTTACAGTCTCGCGTATGCTCTCCACGTCCACAAGCGATCTGCCTCCGGGGAACATGTCAGGTCGTCAAGGGACTATGTGAGCAAAAGTAACAGACGTACCGTCAAGTCAAGCGCGACGAATACACCAGTCTCATAAATCGCCTTACAGATGTGGTGTCCTGTAAGGCCACTACCCACCTGCGGGATCTTGGTGAGTGCTGGTTATTGACTTCATTTTATTTCACTTAGAATAGATTGGCGTAGGAAGACATCGTCTACCCATCGCGGACTTGGACATTCCTACAACAAATCGAAGTCTTTGTAGTTCCAAGTCCCAATGGAACGAAATAAACGATGTATAAAGTATCTGCGTAAGTCAGTGTGCTGTGCCCGCCTGTAGTGAGTGTCCGCAGTATCAGGTATCAGACTCAGGATACGTGACCTTCGAAACACACCTCCATCAGAAGGTATTTCGGCGCGCACTACGTCATCAAAAGCGTGCAAACATATGACTGACTCTATCCCACCCAATGCAGCACTGACTATCAAGAATAAGAATCAAAACCAAAATGCTTACTGCCCGGGTTAGATGCAACACTTGGGTCGAGCGCGTCAACATCAAAGCTCAGGTGAATACGGCGATTAACATAGTTGAGTGCCATCTTGACCACCTTGCAGATGCCTACCGTCGCCGAGTCAACACTTGCGCCCGTCTCTATGAAAAAATCGACGCACCAATCAACCTCGGAGACATTACAAGGTTCGCTTCCGAGAATATAGCCTTGTCCACGTCCTGCAACTCGATGAAGATAAAAACCAGTTCAAACTTCGCGAGGACGGAGGCTGGGATGGATGAAGCACGAGGGATCAAAGTTGAGGAGAATTCAAGTGCGTTCCGTTTATATCTCCTCTGAGTAGATTGAACTATGTCTATATATATTAGCATGGGCGTCTATCAGACGATTATTCTCTATAGTTAAATATCAGTTCTGTGGAAGTAGTATTGTCTAAACGGAGGAATTTACCTCACGGTGACTGAGACAGTGCCGAATCAGGTGCATTTAGCGACTCGTGAAGTCCTTGTCCATGGAGGCGAGATGCAATATTTCTTCAGTAGACTGACTTACAAGGGCTGCATGTCGTTCGACTACCACGTGTGGATAAAATAGTCGTTGAGATCACACCTTGGGACCGCTAACACTTTTCGAACACTCCATGTGAAATTAGTAGTGGAGACGGATGAGTTGGGAATGATTTGTGCAGTGAGGGGTGAGTCGCAGTTTCGAGTCAAATGGAGCGTCCTTCTACACTTTGTCTCTTCAAACTCCGACAAATACTCTCGTTGACCCGTGGGCGTACCGTCACATCAGAAACACTGACAAGGCTTAGGACCTGTATTCACATGACAATGAGAGCTTGCCCTTGTTTATCGCGTAGTGTCTATGAGGGAAGGCACCCAGTGAGTCACTTTGTTTCGTACTTTAAGTTTTGAAACCGGATTTCAAGTGCAAACGATTGGCAAACAATGTTACGATGTGTTGATATTATCCTATAATGTATTACTTTCTAACTCCAGTCTTAGGACCTAAACCCACTTTCACACCACTTTGTAAAACTGATTACTTCCGCAGTCTCCATAGCTAACCACGCAGCAGACTTCTATCCAATTTCCATGGCGTTTTCCCCACCATCGACGGAATTTCTTGCATGCACGCGACACAGAAATTCCCGCACGTCTTGCTTGTGAGCGCGTAACACCGAGCCTTTCTATTCGTCTGTGTTTAATTGACGGTACAAGTATCAGGGAGGCTGTCAGTTTTCCATATCGACGTCATCGTTCACGACAACACTGCCCCTTTTCCCAGAATCGATTAACATCCCCGGTCCACTCGATTTATCACGTCGCAATGGTATCACCGCCCTCATTTTTACTTTGGGTCAGTAGTTTAGCCTCTCGCATCACGAATTGCTCATATTCTGCTTTACCTGATTAGAAGCGATACATGGACCAGCGCACAGAACTTCTGGGATGTCAGTCTCAGTTCAGCAAAGGTATATGCATACGCCGATATGACTGCGTTCAATTGACTTTGCCAGAGAGAAGGGATGCTGGTTCGAAAAACAATCACAGGATAAACATTGCTTAATCTAGAATTCGAAGCTCTGGTTATATAGAATAGCAAAGAACCATAATTTGACCATAATAATACATAGCTTACTGAGGATAAGACATATTGACGTGTCTCAAAATATCGAGAACCGTGAGATCTAAAGTCACAAAGAACATGTGTATCGAGATTCGATATCCGCGTACATAGAGTACTGAGTACTGAATGCCAATTGAAAACAATTGTCGATGGCACAGCGCGGGCGAGTGAATCAGGGTTCGGTTAGGCAGTGTCGAGATATTCATCGTGTACTATATCCTTGTCTTTGTTGGGAGCACCCGCTGTAGCGTTGCGCTGCAAATCTATGCATTAGACTTTGAATAAAATGCGAAAAATGAACTCGACATGCCTGAGTTCCCGAGACGGGGCGGGGTAGAGGTAACTTGGTAGAAAACTGCAGCACAGATGTCAGGTAAAATACGAAAGCAACAAAAGAAAGAAAGATACATCTAATGGATCGCGAGGTTGACCGTTCCGACCAGGGCGTACCGCGTTCGTGCGAGGGGAGAGACGAAGAAGCTTTCTGAGACGAAGGAACATGGATTGCTGTGGTTCAACCGTAGACAGAGGGATACGTGTGGTACATATTGGTGGTTTGGGGCGCGGGCGCACGGTGGCAGCACGATGGGTTGCGTCAGACTGCAGCGATAGCCATAGATGAAGCGGTGTAATGTCAAACAAAATAACAAGGAACATACTTTTAGAAGATCACGAAGAGCTAACTTCTTGCGTGCACTGGTCTGTAAGGGAGAATTAGCACATGAATAGGATATGTGTGCCGGTGCACTGGCCTGAGCGAGAACGTCAGATGGAGTATCGTAGATACAGATGTTGTAATCATCTTCAGATTCGATGTAAGTGCCACAAGTTGGTGTGAGTCGGGTGAGAGGATAAGGATACGAGGATTTTGAGCGTCGAAGGAAGCGAGGAGTTGGCGGGACTCGTAATCCCAGAGCTTGATGGCGTTGTCGAAGGAAGCGCTAGCGAGGAGAACATGGTCAAATGAAAGTGCTAGACCAGTGACATCCTTGGTGTGCCCTTCGAAGGGAGCTCCGACCGTCATCAGCGTCGACGCGTCAAACTCGTGGATTGTCCTGGTATCATCGTTTGTGATGAAGTTGAATGGGGCTATGATGATTTTGTTGTTTTTTGTCCAGCATACAGCTGGCTTATACGTGGATCCTATTCCACCGAATTCCCCTATCTTCGCGTCCAATTTCTGTGATTGAACATCACGGACCTCAAGGCACATCCCCAGCCACGACATGACTGCAAGTTTCTTCGAGTCTGTTGAGAATCGAACAGCCCCCATGCCTCTGAATGGACCAGCCACGAGTTTTCCGGTCCCTAAGTTCCATATCCGCGTCGTTTTATCTTCTGACCCACTCGCCAATAACGTGTTGTCTGTGGAAATATATCGATGCAGTTGATCCTCCGTGAGTGTCCTTCGAATGTTCTCACAATCCCCGTCTCAACCTCACACGCTTTCAACTCCGCACGATCACCATCTCCACCACTGGCCATCGACCATCCCTTGATACTGCCACTGCCCATACCTGCCCCTCGCAAACACCTCGCGCTTCCTCGATTTCCTTACCTACCTTCAGATCCCATTGCCGAGTGGTCTTGTCCCAAGATCCGCTGATTATTCGCTGGCTGTCTGGAAAGTAAGATATAGATTGAATCAGGTCTCTGTGACCTTTTAAAGTCATCGATGGTGATTTCGTGGCAGCTGCCTTTAACGTGGGCGCAGAAGCCATGGCTGTCTTTCTGTAAGTCAAACCTGGTAGTCGAATACGGGAAAGGTATTCTTTGAATGCGTTGAAAGGTCAGGTCTCCTGGTGTCAGTGTGCTATGTGACTAATGGTGACAGCAATTCGGATATGATCTCTCTGGTAAAGTTAAATATCAATTCATCCGCGCTGGAGATACAGATGAGAATTTGGTGTTACCGAGTTTAGCGCTTTGGCAGCGAAGAATTCGAGGAGTGATGAATCCTTGAATGTGAGTGTAGCTATTTTCCTTGGGCTCGGTCTTGCATATATATACCTATGACATGGCTGCTGTGCATTGCGCCCGCCATTCTATTCATCGCATTTGCTTCTCCGACTCACAACCATGGCAATCACTGCCATGACTTAATGAGTCGAAGCTGTTTTCCTGTTCCCACCTGACGATGGACGACAAACGCTCAAGCACTCATTCAAACTTCAGCATTGCTCGTTTGCCAGCTTCGCTTTGAACGAATCAACGTTCACGAAGGCCTCCTTTCCTCACCTGTCGTAGCAACTTAGTGAGCGCACATATGACATTACAGGATATCTCGGTAGCCTTTTGTGATATTCTGTTATCACGCCCTATAAAATCACCTTTGGAATCTACAAAGTCGAACGTGTCTCTGACATTAAGATTTAATACCCATCCACAAAATTCAAGGTCGGGATCACCATACATCCGCGCGTCAAATACCGCAAGCTCATAAACGGGAGCTAAGTGTCCTATGAACAGCATTGTCTGGTACATCTCTAGTAGTAGTGCAAAAATCAACGAGATATGGACAGCAAGTTAAATTCATTACTGATCGTTGTGTCAGCTCCCTTTGTCGAGGGACGGTCCCGAGGATCAGTAGACCAACATTGTTCGATAATTGGCCAGTATTGTTCAGGGAGCTCAGGATAACGAAATCGGGGAGGCGTTTGCGATTTGACTATGCAGAGTATGATGGCGGCATCGTTCGTGAGGTGATAATAGGGTACTTTATTGGTGAGGACCTACGAGTAGAGCTTATGATATCAATGAGAGGCCGAAGTTGACCCGGACATACCTGCAGCATGATACCGCCGAATGAATACATGTCGCTCTGCTTGCTTGGCCGAGCTTGAGAGCCATCCTCCCGCTCTGCGAGCAGCTCAGGAGCCATCCATCGCATGTTTCCTTTGAGAGTGGACGTCCAGGAAGCCTGAGAGGCGCTTACAATCTCGGAATACATCAAGGAAAGACCAAAGTCAGCAATACACGCAGTACCATCAGCACGGATCAACACGTTAGGCTGGAGCTCACGTCTCAATGACATCGGAACCATCGAGAAGATAAAACTCACCCCATTGAAGTCGCCATGGATGACACTGTTGGCGTGGACTATGAGGAGTAATTATGGCTCGGTCCGGCAATAGTGAAGTTTATCACATACGATATTGCAGGCCAGCTATAATATCTCTTAGCTAAGTTTTCCGTCAGTTTTGGGGTCTACACAAAATACACGAATAGAGAACTTGCCAGCTGGAATCGTCGAACGAGAGTCAGAGCCTGCACCTTGATTTTCCAGATAGACCGTCAAGTTTCCATTCTCTGCCCAAGGACTGATTATCGCAGGAAATGGGCCGAAACCATACGTATAACCATGAATGCGCAGAATATTTGCATGGTTGAGTTTAGCGCATATCTTGAGTTCACGCTTATCCTCTACGAAGTGGCGCCCTGTGGTGTAAGCAATAGACTTAATCCTTCGGCAAGACACTCACCTTGATCTTTTTCATCTTCGGTGCCCCAAGTTGATCATCAGCATACACCTGCAATGCTTTCACTGCAACCTGCAAATGATTCATTTTCAGACAGATGGACAGACAACAGACGGCAAACAAACTTTGACAGAGCTACGATTGATGTGGCAAGGTGCATTTCCAGATCTCCCCGAACCCACCACGAGTAACAGGGTAGGTCCATCCTTGATGATATATTTTGAAAGGTCTTGGAGCATTTTTTCAAGGGGGAGATCGTCAGCTCGACGTTGCGAGCTGAGAGGACTGTATGAGTATAGGAAGAGGAAGGAAGGAGCTCGCGGGGGTCCACGTAACGGTGGTAGCAGGGACTACTGTAAGGAGAGTATTGCAATGGAGGGGAGAGAGTTATGACAGGCGATTGGTTAGTACTTAGATCTGATGGAGTCTTTTCGCGTACATGTTTGTAAGAAAGTGTTAGCCACGAACATAGAATTGTGGGAATACATACACCGGCTGCGACAGGACGTCGGGTGGAGTATCGCAGATGAAATCTTACAGTCTTTTTTGGTAGCTGTCGAATAGACTAGTTGGCGCGAGTCAGGTGAGAAGACAAGGACATTGGGCTTCTGAACATAGAAAGAGGCGAGGAGCTGTCGGGACTCGAAAGCCCAGAGCTTGACGGAATCCTCGAAGTATGAAGCGCTAGCAAGGAGAGCACCATCAAATGAAAGTGCTAAACCGGCGATATCATTGTTGTGCCCTTCAAAGGGAGCTCCGACGACCTCCAGCGTCGCCGCGTCAAACTCATAGATTGTCATGGGGAAGTCATCCGTGAATTGGAACGCGGCCAAGATGTTTTTGTTTTTGTTTGTCCAGAACATTGGCACATCGAACTTGCTTCCTACGTCATATGCCCTCAGTCTGACATCCAATGTCTGTGTTTGAACGTCCCAGATTTCAAGGCACATCCCCGCCGACGGCTTGACTGCAAACTTCTTCGAATCTGTGGAGAATCGAACCGCCCCCACCCAATCGATGCTCTTGAACGGATCAGCCACGGGTTCGCCAGTCTCCAAGTTCCATATCCGCACTGTTTTATCTCCCGACCCGCTCGCAAGCAGCGTGCTGTCCATGGAGATATCAATACAGGTGATCTCCCATAAGTGTCCTTCGAATGTCTTCACAATCCCAGTCTCAACCTCACAGGCTTTCAGCTTGGCAACTGCCCAATCTCCACCACCAGTGACAACCCATCGACCATCTCTTGATACTGCCACTGCCCATACCATCCTCTCGCAATCATCCCGCGCTTCCTCGATCTCCTTGCCCGCCTTCAGATCCCATTGCCGAGCGGTAGCATCATCAGATCCGCTGATCATTCGCTGGCCGTCTGGAAAATAGGATATAGATGCAATCCATTCTCCATGTCCCTTCAAAGTTATTGATGGTTCCAGGACCGATTTCGTTGCGGCTACCTTCGTCGATGTAGAAGCCATGTGGCTCTCCGCGAGCGAAACCGTGAAGTAATCAAGTACGAGCAAGTATTCTTTGGATACGTTCAACTGTGCGAAGGTGAGATCTCCTTGTGTTGATGTACTCTACGATTGTCACTGATAGTGATTTGAAGAACAGGCCCCCAGTGGTAAACCAAACGTCATCCGGGACCGTACTGCATTAGTGAATCCTTGATATCGTGGGCACTGGGAACTATAGTAGGATGTATTCTGCTAAAGCTTAAACTACCATCTGACATTCTAACACGCCCCTTCTGCATGGCAGCTGTGCACTGCATTCTAAATATCGCATTTGTTTCTCCTCAATTCTCAGCTCACAGCTATGGCTAAAGTCACTGCCATCAGTATTATTAAAGTGTCGAATCGACATCTTGGTAGCTTCTTTAGTCACGCCCTAGTCACCTTTGAATTCATAAAAGATATTTGAAGTGTCCATTCACAGAATTCAAGGTCGACACCACCATGCATCTGTGTTCAACACCGGAAACTCGAGAGTAGAAATACAATATCTAAACCCCGTCAATGACACAAACCTTATCACCTGCAAGTACCGGAGCCCAACGCCTATCATCACACTTGATAAATCGCAAGGATATAGTGCGCAGTCGAGGATGAGACCGTAAGTTGGACACCCATTGAGCATATCCAAAGCAAAGAGGTCTGAAAGAGAAAAGGGATCAGCCGGTTCAGCATCAAGGACAGCCATGGCGTCGTGGAGTTTATCATTGGTCGTTGACTATGTGAAAGGATCGTAAATGGTGCAATGTGATGTGCCATCGATGTGCTCACCTGTTGATCCTTTGTGAACTGTTGCGGTTGATTTTGTTGAAAGCAATATGACGAGAAATTTTTTGAATTCGAGGTCCAATCAGTAACGCGTTGCAACCTGTGAGTAGCCCTTATGTTGATCAGGATAATGATTTTGTTAGATACTCGACTCACCCCTTGAAGCTCTGGCTGCTGGAGCGAACTTGGATCGTCTATTCAGTCGCGCTGAAAGTTCGGATGAGGTTTAAAACACCTCGTCGTCTATAATTGGGCCCCTTGACGTTCAATATCGATCACTTTGCTTTTCCTGTGACGCTAGATAGCTTTACAGAGAAGGGCAAATCAGAGAAGGGCGAGTGCAGTGAAACGGAACAGAGACATACAAGTGATGCACTGGAGAAGATTCGAGACCCAGCTTATTGCACCAACAACTTGTGAGGTGCTCATCGAGTCTGTCCTTGAATCAGTTAGCTGGTGTATACGAAACATGTGAAAGTGGAAGATGGAAGAGGTCGACGAGGCGACTACTTGGACTGAACTAAAAGAGATGTAGGACAAATCTAGGATGGACGCACTGGCGCTAGAAATGGGCCATGGACCATGGTGCCTGTATTTGTAGTTGTTTGATGCAGTTAATCAAAGTTATGACGGTCTTCAGCCAGCCTTGGCAGCTGTGGGCTGCCGGGCTCCTTCAAGTTCCTTGAAATTTCGAATGCAGATACACTGCACACCCACGATGACGCTTCCATAATAGCGCGATGCCGTGAGGCTACTGTGGGGGAACTTTGAGGGTACAGGGACATCATTGTTGGTATTATGAGAGAAAAACGCACACGTGAGTATTTACTTCGTTCTTCGAGCTTCGAATACTCAGCCTCCTTCACCCAACCACGCAGCAGGCATCCCTCCTTCGCCAATCCCACTTAACCTCCCTCACCACGATGGTTTTCTGCACCCCTACGCGATGCAGACATTCTCCATGTCGTAGTCCGTGCAAAAACGCGCCTTACTGCACACAATGAGTGCATACGTGGAGTGGGGCAAGCGAAGACTCTGCAAAGTCTTCCGTGCATGATGGCGAGTTTGAAGGTACACAGATCAGTCGAAGAATGGGTAACCTTCACGTCAATTAACAGTATGTCTTAGATTACAAGCCATCATGCAATATTCACTGTGCCGTTGGCTTCCAACGCTGAGTATTCGGTAGCCACTCGAAATGACAGCCATCTTCACTCGTCTTTGGTCTGTCTGAGGAGTACTCAGGCCTATTTTGACGCAGACAAAATCTTGAAGACTTCGCTTTATCAACAACGCAAGTGCCAGTGGAATTATCTGAGTTTCTGAATGTCTTCCAATACTGGTACGCCCTCATCGTTCTCAATAACTACCATCTTTGCTCGTAACCTGGCACCCGAAGTTCGTCACTCACTTGCACCGAGCTACATGCTACATCCCTCGCCTTTCATGTCGACACAAGCAGCAGCCATGTCATGCAAGGTTTGCAGGCCATACTTGAATGCGCTGGAGCTCTCTTGAAATACAGAGACAACTTTGCAGACGCTTATGACATCTCTGCTGGTGAGCTAAGTTTTTTTTTGATATTCTGTTGTCACGTCATATATAATTGTCATTGAATACAAAAGTTTGACGTGTCCCTAGCATTGAGATTGGGTGCCCATCCACAAAATTCAAGGTCAGAATCACCATACATCTGCGTGTTGAAAACTGGAACTGAGAAATGGGAGCTGGAGTGCCCTATAAACAGCTATGTCAAGTCAGCCTCCTTGAATGTGTGTACGAGTTATGGTATAAGAGACGAAGGACGTTGTCGGACATGACACTCTAAAGACCACATAAAGTCTGCATTTACACCCGTGTCAGAGAAATTCATCATTTGGATCAATGACAAGTTCTTCACAAGGCTAAGGTGGCACCATAGTGAAGAAACGACCGTCTTCATTCACAATACCCTGTAGGTATGATATATTAATATCTAGTATTGTAGAAGGCTGATGTTATATCAGAGCCTGTGGTCCATAGACCATGATGTATCAACTCGCTCACCTTTCCTGCAGGCTGTGCTGTGATGTATCACGTAGACAGTGATACATCAAGTCCGATGTCCTGCATCACGTGATATATCACCAGTTTGCGTGATGTATCCCTTCAAACACTTGCGTGATATATCATTAGTTTGCGTGATGTATCACCTTCAAAGCTTGTGAGGCCCGCGTGATATATCATTAGTTTGCGTGATACATCACCTTAAAAGCTTGTGAGGCTTGCATGATATATCACTTTCATTAGTTTGCGTGATACATCACTGGTTTCTGTGATGCATCACCTTGGAAGCTCTACACGAGGCTCGCGTGATATATTACTTGCGAACGGAGTTTGCACATTATATCACTGGTTTCTGTGATGCATCACCTTGGAAGCTCTACACGAGGCTCGCGTGACATATTACTTGCGAACGGAGTTTGCACATCATATCACCTTCAAAGCTTGCATGATATATCACTTGTAAATAGATAGTATATTATATACTCACCCTCGTCAAAAGGAGGGGAATTGGGGTTTAACTAGGAATGAAGATCAACTGCGAGTGGAGCTTGCCATGAAGAGTTGGCTGCCCACATGGATTTGAAGTGGACAGCCATTTTTCGGCGTAGATTGGCCTGGCGTTGAGCATAAGTAAGTGCACCCTCTCTGGCTTGCAGTGAGCTAAAAGTACGTCGTGAACCTTGCGTGTCCCACCAGCCAGCGTGCCAGTCGAGAAATGCAATGACGCGGCGCATTTCCTCCTGCAGTAACTGCACTTCTTCCTCCCAGCGATGAGCTCGCGCTCATGCCTTACACCATTCAACATGTAGTGCTATAAAATGGCCAGGTCAGTGAGAAGCACCAGTGGTTAGAGCGTACTTACAGTCCTGCAGCCCTAGCTCGTTGCTGTTGGAGCCTGAAGTCTTCCAGATCCACGATATACTTTGCTGCCCCACCATTCAGCCATCGTCATGTTTGAGTGGTACTGCATCCTTTTGCTTGTCGAGTGGCTTCAGGCTCCTCTCCCAGTTGTCGTTCTTGCCCAGCCTTGATGCCAGATTCAGAAGTGCGCCTCTAGAGGTGGAATACTTAAGTGATAAGGCGTCGATGCGACATTCAGCGTTATTGATGATTCCGTTTGCTCGGGTATTTGCTCGCTGTCCTCGGATAAATGTGTCCTTATACTTGTAAAGATGGTATTGCAGGTTGAGCACAGTGCGGAGGTCATTCAGTGTGTCATACACTTGAGCTTCACGCAACTCCCACTCATGTTTGAGCAAGCGGTCGTCACACGGTACTCGATGGGGTAGAGAGGACGGCAGGAACAGGTTAGTGTTGTGAACCTTGGCTTCAGTTGCAACGTCATCCGGCAACCGCAGGCGGGAGACGCCAGGCATATACAACAACTGTACCCGGCCCCATGTGTCAATGCGTTGGCGAAGAGCATTCATCCGCTGTAAGAGCTTGCCCTTCTGAACATCTGTAGTGTGTTGTCCAACCACCTTGGCATCAAATTCAAGACAGCGCCTAGAATAGAGTCAGTTTGTGATCCAGTGAAGTTCAGAAATGTCAATGCAACTGTTGATCTTCAAGTTCTAATCCTGATGAAATCAGCACTGATGGTGAGATATCATCATGTAGGGACACATCGTTACTGCGCTCAATCTCTGTGGCCTCTGCCATTGATAAGGCCAGACGCACGGCAGCCTGAGTCATTGCTGTTGAAAACACCATCAGCTTCTCAAAATGCGTTGAATAGAGCACACATACTTGTCGTAGCTCTGTCTTCAAATGGGTTCGGTCGTGAACGGTCTTCCTCCCATGCCTCAATGTCCTTCCTCCATTCGGCTAGCTCATCTGTGGCAAGAGAAGCCTCGAAATTGGTGAGATCGTTGACACGTTCTTGGACCTCAATTAATGTGAAGTTGTACTTTCGGCGGAAAATTAAACCTGCGAGACAGAAACTGTAAGTTCAGATATTCAGTGAGAGGCCAAAAACTCACCCATTGCGCATATCTTCTTCCAATTCCAATCATTGAAGTGGTCGTCTAAGGTATCACACCTTGAACTGGGACCCATTTCGTGTGTACTTGTAGCAATGGGGTTTATGTCCACCCACCTGCGCTCTGGAGCTTCACCGTCCGTGCGACCAACACCCTTGATGAGATTGAAGGAGAAGGATGTCTGGCATTTGGCGATGTGGGCTGGCAGGTGAAATTTCAGTATGAGAAACACAATGGACTTTTCGTGGTGCTTGATGTGGTACTGGTGTGGGAAGGTGGACATACGTGTCCAGATATGCTTGCTCCATTGGCAAGTGATATTGTACGATATATTTAATGCCACTATGTCCGATGAAGACCGCATGCTAGAGAAAAATAAGTAATTCATATTAAGGTACCTGTATTGTGCTGTTAATAATAATATGACTAAAAAGTGAACAGTTACACACTGTTCGCCCTTTTGTAAGTCACTGACGGAGCAGGGCATGTTGAAATTGTGTCGTGCACAATCGATGGTACCGGCGCCAGTGGCCGCAAGCCCACGCGAGACTCTTGTATCTGTGAGATTTACCACATTGTGACTGGAGCATGAACTCATCTGCACAGAGTTATACTTAGTGCCCAGGATGAATAGAATGATGGACTTACCTCCTGGACAGCTCGTTCTTGTGAACTGATGAAACTTTTGTAGGCATGTTCCTCTACAAAAAAAGCATATCCATGATTGAGACCAGAATCAGCGGTGGCCGAAGAGACGTTACGGCGAGCCAGACGAAAATTGGCGTCAATGCCCAGAAATAAGGCATATAAGAATCTGGATCTGTGTGAGAGCAAAGTCGGAGGGAAAAGATGTTAATTGTACATACCATTATTTCAGATGGTGCATTTTCCCATCCATCTGGCAGATTTTTTCCTACATGGGGACATGCAGGACATAATACAGCACATGCACCTGGTTCAGTTGCTGTGATACCTTTGGGGTGATGACCTTGACCAGCGCGTTGCATCTGCTTGATGAACCGCCACTCTCGCATCATGCGCAACATAGATTCATAACGGTTCTAGATTGTAATATGACAAATTGGAAGAGAATTAGAATTAACATTAGCACATACCTTCGGTACATGAATTCCTGTATTGTCCGTCAAACGGGCAGCTGTTTTGTAAAATTCAAATGTGGAAACTTTGGACTCGAAAGACAACATTTGAAAGTATTCCAGTGCCCGAAATGTTGCGGCTGTTTTGGGATCGACTGTTGTGGCAGGAAAGAGACGAACACGTAGTAGTTGAACAATGTGTGGCTGAGCAGAAGCGCATCCGCAGAAATCTAACCCCACTTCGTAGATACCGTTGTAGTAGATGATAATGAAGTCGTCGTTGAAAGCAGGGAGTGGGTTGTCACAACAAACGCCAGAGGTGTGTCCAAGTTGCAAACGGATCCCCATGGACTTTGAGGTAATATCGTCGAATGAGATGCCATCCCAATGCTAAGTTTAAAACACAAAAGAGTCAGTTGATGTAAGGAATGTGAGTATCTATGCACATACCTCCATTTTATGAAATGGCTGTCTTTCATGTACACGGACCATACACAAATGTCAGAACATCTCTGAACCGTGACAATCCTGACAATGATATATCGCAGCTTCCTCACCACAAACACAAACATCTTGTAAATAGTCGCCCTGACCCTCCAGACGGAGGAATTCCTCCAAGAACAAGTTGGCATCGGATTCCCATAAGCGCAAGGTCTCACCATGAACCACAGTGTGTTTTTGCCTCATGAATTCTACAAACTCTGGCGTGTCATTTTGAAGGTTATCAGGAAAGTCATCGAGAGTTGTAAAGTTAAACTCTGTAGTCTCCAGTAGGACTTCTGAATCTCCACGACAGCGTTTCCCTGGAGAATTTGGAACGGTGTAGTAGGTTGAAGAGACGTTCAACCGCCCACTTTGTCCTGTTTCAAAACTGCTGTGCTTGCATTGTTGAACATCATGTGTGTGTTGAGGCGCATCATTGGTATCGTTATTCACTGCTTTTGAAGCAGCAGCATTGTGCGCATAGAAATCGCGCTGATAATGCTTCAGGGCTCGCCGTCTCTGGCCTCCAACCATTTGTCGTCGGTGTTAGTGAGACGCAGTTCACAAATTCGGCTGGTTTATATTAAGACTTGTCTGATATATCAACTGCAGTCTGCCAAACAAGTGAGTTGGTGAACATTGCCTCATCATAAGCTTCAACACCTCCTTCGTCTATTATTGATATGACTTCCTTCTCTATTGCAAGCCGTCTCCCCATCAAGTCCACCAGTTCCTGGCTCTGCTTCAACAAGAGGTGATATCCAGTCCCAGACGTACATTCAAGTTGTTGCATGGCATCATGTAACTTGGTAGCACGCCCCTGCAGACCCAGCAGAGTAATACATACATCATTCAACTCAGGGCTGTAGCACACTCCAACCCTCGTCACTCACTCTCTGGAGCACTGCGATAACTGCGAGATTGCATGATGCGTGCCTCGGGAACACCAGACTTGTACCCAAGTTCAGTGCTCAGTTGGTCTAAGGTGCGAAACAATGCAACAACATCCTGTTTGTGAAAGTGTAGATACATATAGCACTGTATATCAAGGAAATACATACATCATTAAAATGACAACTTCGCACCCGCCAACGAGTTCGAGACTTTGCCTGCTCCATAGTCTTATTGCTACAAGAAAACAAATAAAATTCATTAAGTATCTTGATAGACTCTGAGTGGTTGAAATTGACCATTGATAATGTTGTCAGTTTGCTCTGCAATCGAGCTCTGTGGCGTTCTTCTGCAGTTCCATATTTTGGTGCCATTGCGGTAATGATTTGAGGGACAAGGTGTATGTAGTAACGTACCAGTAAGTTAGTGTAAACAACTCACTGTATTGTTTGGTGGCATATGAGCCACACTTCGGGACAGACCTGTACTATGATAGACAATATAAAATTCAATTTTTGCAATGCGGATGACTTGGTGTCTTGCTGGATACTGGCCAGATGGTGGCGAGCTGGTAGGTAAGTGTCACAAAGTAATATACAGTTGTACAACATTTGGTGTGCTTGCGCAAGAAAATGCTTTCGACAATATATTTTAACACAAGTGGCACTGAACAAAAAAAAACATTACTGAATTCGAAGTGCACTACACACTGAATTATTGAATATACACTACATACATCTACAAAGCATGTTTCCTTGACATCATGAAATCAAGTTGCGCTGTTTTCAAATAATTCAGTGTGTAGTGCACTTCGAATTCAGTAATGTTTTTTTTTGTTCAGTGCCACTTGTGTTAAAATATATTGTCAAAAGCATTTTCTTGCGCAAGCACACCAAATGTTGTACAACTGTATATTACAATATATGATGATATATGACGATATCTTCTTCTCACAGGTTCTCTGATGTGACTCAACGGCAGACCTGGACTTTCTGATGGGCCTGTGATATATTATCGGCCATGCGAGAATCACTGTTGGCATGCTGAACTGAGCTTAAAGCTTATCAGATGACGTTGCTTGTGAGGCCTGGGTCATACAAGACTCGCATGTCTGATTCAAACGTAAATATTTATCATGATTGAGTATCTAGCATATGTAAGAATGAAACAGTTAATCCCCACAGAACCTATTCATTGGGGACACCCCATGATATTTTGAGTTTGCAGTGACAAACAGTACTTTCACGTTAGACCGTCTCACCACACCACACCGCCAAAGCAAGCCTGAAATACTCCTTAGCTTCATGGAGTGTGGTGAAGTAATGGACAGATGTGCCTGGGGCATGAAGCATCCGGGTGGTAGATCTATGAATAATTTGATGCGGTTCAGATCAAGAGCAATAAAAAGCGACTGACATTTCATTGTATAGCCCCACACCAAAATGACTAGTGGTCATGAACCAGTTAAATTCAAGAGCAGGGTCAAGGTCAGCGAGTGTTTCAGTACCACTCATACTGGACTCTCCCCCATTTTGGAAGAGGAACTATCGAGACTGTTGTCAGCAGCAGCAGCCGTGGGGCCAATACAAATATCATCAATAGAGACTTCTGAGGAAGTGTCCTCCTCTTTGGCCAGGGAGCGGTCTTCTGGGCTATGAGAGACTGCGCAATTTATGAGTAAAATGAAAGAGGAAAATGTATGCAAGTTCACGGTACCTGTTTGTGTATGGACTGAGCACACCTCATCTTCAGGTCAGTAAGGCCATCCATATGGTTTCAGTGATGATGGGGGAACTGTGTGAGATGCAATGGTGAGCAAGCACTTTGGTGATATCATAACAAAAACTTACCATGACCGTTCTGTACCATACGTATGGCCTTGATGAATTGCTCCATCGTGAAACACGGGTGGCGGCACTTTGGTCACCCCATTTTAGATACCTCTTAGGTTGATTGTTGTCTATAGAGATTTGTACCTAAGAGGTATGTTTCTGCTGGTCTCTCCAACGTTCCACGGTCCTTCCCTATTATTTGTGTGGACCAAAAGAGGATGTACTGCCCATGGACCATAGACCATTGGGACCATGTCATGGCACGTACCACAGGGTATTTTGGACCATATATCTAATGGATTTTCCCAGATATACCGGAGTGTCTGGGGTCACAAACCACCTAGATTTTCATTTTTTGCGATAATTTTCTGTTGATTCTGATGGTGAATAGCATTGAACTACCATGAATGTTTGTGTTATATCTACCATATAGAATCATATAATGGCTGAAATTGTGAATGCAATTGTATATTGCTCAATTTAGTGTCTTGCTAGGAAGACACTGTTCATTATGAAGTCTGGTAGTATTTGTGGTCATATCTGTTTAGTTCTACTATAATTCAACCAATCTTCTCGCACTAACAATACAAAGGATACACTGTGACAATCAAGCCTGCACTAGGCTTGTATGATTGCATTACCATATTTGTCTATGTGTTACCGGCATACCTGGACCTACCTTTCTTATCTGTCACTCAGCTGAGCCTCTTTGACTAGTTTAAGCCCTATGTCCACACAGGTCCTGTCGATTGGTACATAATAATGTGGTATGGTTGTTACATGCTTTCGCTGCAGGTACACTGACTGAATTTTTACAGATGCATATCCCCATGCACCTACACTTGCTACTGACTTCACCTGTACATTCTGGAGTTTTACATGGTACAATAAAAAAGAGCTCCAGAGTTGATAGCTAGGATGCTTCCTACCTTGGACCTTGGTAGTGGTCACCTAGTGTTTTAAAATATTGCGCAATCATTACCTTCGTTGTGAACCATGGTACTTGTGACTCCCACCTTACCTTTGCCTAGGTGATTTCGCCCATCCTAGTTACCTTCGCCTGGATGCCAGGTTTACCAGTAGTATCTTTAGTCATGATCCCATGGTAGAAAACAACATTGACAAGGATATAGACTACTTTGGGAGTACTGTATGTCATGTAGGGGAGACCACAAAGACATCATGACCTATGTAGGGTGGACCATATAGGGTGGACCACACCAACAGTATAGACCAACTAGGGCGGACCATATATCAGATAGGGCAGGCCACAACACCATTGTAGAGTAATTAGGGAGGGCCATATGTCCCACAGGGCAGACCATAAAGACATTATAGCCTAAGTAGGGCGGACCACAACACCATTATAGTCTAATTAGGGAGGACCATATGTCCCATAGGGCAGACCGCCTACATAGGGCGGACCACAACACCACTATAGACTAATTAGGGAGGACCATATGTCCCATAGGGCAGACCGCAAAGACATTATAGTGTATGTAGGGCAGACCGCAACAATGCTATAGACTAATTAGGGAGGACCATATGTCCCATAGGGCAGACCGCAAAGACAATATAGCCTACATAGGGTGGACCGCAACACCACTATAGACTAATTAGGGAGGACCATATGTCACATAGGGCGGACCACAAAGACAATATAGCCTACATAGGGTGGACCATATTTCATGTAGGGCGGACCACAACAACATGATAGACTAACTAGGGCAGACCATATATAATATAGGGTGGACCACAACAACATGATCAGAATGCTGTACAGTACGAATCTATGATGTTGGTCCAGTACCCCCGCCAAGAAAAAATTGACGAATTGCGCAAAATGCCCCTTATTTTACACATTTTCACTTTCCCAGATCAGCCCCCCCTCCCTATGTCAGTCCAGCACCCCCGCCAAGAAAAATAGATGATGATCAGAATGCTGTATGGTACGAATCTATGATGTCAGTCAGTTTCCCTTCCAAGAAATAATTGATGATGATTGGACTGCTGTACGGTACGAATCTATGATGTTGGTCCAGTACCCCCACCAAGAAAAAATTGATGAGGATTGGAATGCTGTACAGTATGAATCTATGATGTCAGTCCAGTACCCCCACCAAGAAAAAATTGATGAATTGCACAAAATGGTATGTGAGTTCTTTCTGTCTGTCATATGCACATGTGGGTTAACAAATATCATATTCCGCCATATATGTGCAGACACCTTGATAATCTCACCAAGCTTGTACATCAAGTCATATTCACTCTGCATAGCACCACCATCTGGCATCAACTGCTATACTGGGACGGACAGGTGGAGGCGGGACAGGCATAATGGTGAGAATCATCCACTCAGGATGAGCATACTCATCTGAAAGACCTATTAGATGAAGGTCGGAGTCTGACATCTTCTTGAACATTCGTATAAACCTCTGAAGACGGTGTAATCAGCTGCTTGTCAGGCTGCATTGATTTCACATCCTCACCCTCATCTTTGGGTCTCTTGTATTGGACGAAAAGCTTCAGTCCTTCTTTCCTAATGGCCAGTTGTACATGACCACATCCACCATGACCTTTCTTGGGCTCATCCGCATCTCCTTCAGCACCATCTTCCTTGGGCTCGTCAGTCTCACAGACCATCTTGGTCATGATCAGAATGCTGTATGGTACGAATCTATGATGTCAGTCCAGTACCCCCACCAAGAATGATCAGAATGCTGTATGGTGCAAATCTATGAAGTTGGTCCAGTACCCCCACCAAGAAAAAATTGATGAATTGCACAAAATGCCCTTTATTACAGACCCCCTCTCCCTATGTCGGTCAGTACTCCTGTGAAGAAAAATTGATGATGATTGGAATGCTGTACAGTACGAATCTATGATGATGGTCTAGTACTCCTGCCAAGAATGATCAGAATGCTGTACAGTATGAATCTATGATGATGGTCCAGTACCCCTGCCGAGAAAAAATTGATGAAGATTGGAATGCTGTACCATATGAATCTATGATGACGGTCGAGAAAAAATTGCAAAATGGTATGTGAGTTCTTTCTGTCTGTCATATGCACATGTGGGTTAACCATAGACTAGTAAGTAAGGCAGAACATATGAGATAGTGTGACATACAAGTTACAAGGACAAGATAACCCACCCCACCCCCTTATTACACACCTTTTCACTTTCCCAGATAGCCCCCCCACCCTATGTGCTCGATTCATCACACAACTATTGTCTATGCACTCATTTTTCATTTTTTACATGTACTTGCCATATGATAAACTACATGAAAACATCTAGCATGTAAAGAACCATGAGATGTGGTGGTGCAAAATGAAGGCCGTGAAGTCAGAATATATTAATAAAATGGTACTACAATGCACCTTACAATGTTACTGTGGCGGCAGGTGTAGAATTCGTACCAAAAACCCTCAATAAGGTCATTGAGAATTCACATTAAGACTAGCAAATTTAAACGGTCACACTTCGGACAGTATTCTCTAGTGAGACGGCTGGAAAAACATAGTGATATTCGCATCAATGTCTATCACTTATCTGATCATAGTATGCACGTGACAACAAAAAGGCATAAAGCATAAGTGATGAAGGGGCATACACATAAGGGGCATAACATGATGAGCAACTGGACAGGGCACGAGTGAGTGAGGTTAAAACATAATATGAGAAGTTGCAACCCAGTAAGGATCCAAACCAAAACATGCGAGAATGATGTACTTGCTATGAAGATCAGTAGGAGTCAAATTCATACTCAGCTTCAACAGCCACTCGACGGCCATGCTGGCATGAAGGCGAAGCAATCAGTATAGGGTGCCGCTGACGAACGAGATGGTAAGCGCGCAGCATTCTTGTTTGGGACGGCTCGTGCCATGGATGGAGCACAAGCAATCGGCTTATGACTAAGTGAATGGCAATCAATTAGCACCGTAAAATAAAATGACAATTGAATAGTAACTTACTGATGACCAAGAGTAGACCTTTGATCCATGCTTGTCCTGTCCTGCGATTCAAAAGGTTGGTTGAGATTGAAAAAATAAAATAAAATAAAGATGTAGACGACATATGCGCATCCTGGCCCAATGCCTATCATCCACCACGGCAGTCTTGATGTCGTCGGCCTCACTGATAGTTTCATAATCACCACGAGGTCATTTCCGAGTGTCAGACTTAGAGGCCAAAGAATGGCGGATGTCTTCACACAGACGGTTGTACTGGGATCGTCCATGGGCTGCATTTGCATTTGAACCTCGAGGCGTAGCAGGGGAAAAAGGAGATGATGGTGGGAGATTGTCATAGTCGTCTGGGAGGTCACTGTAGTCAGCATGATTATCATAGTCCGTGTGCCTAGGGACAAATTGATTGGAGCGTGGAGCCCCAGAAGTGGAGCGCAAAGCCCCAGCGGTGGAGCGCAAAGCCCCAGCGGTGGAGCGCAAAGCCCATTGGTTGAGCGCGGAGCCCAATGGTTAGAGCGTGGAGCCCCAAGGTTAGAGTGCGGAGCCCCAGAGTTGGCGCGTGGAACCATACCACGTGTGTGAGAAACCTGCTGGTAATGAGTACAAAGATCTTCAGTTGAATCATAAATTTACCAAGTTAGGACACGAAGCCTCTGAGCCCGAATGCTCTGCACTTGCATCTGAGGTCGGAGTTTCTGCACGAATCATCTTGCCTATTTGCTTGCGAGTGACGTGGGGAGGGAGATCCTTAATAAATTTTTCTGAATCTTTGAGACGACAGTAAGATGACACCATCTGTATCAATGACAAGAGGGATTTCGAACACCTCGCCAGTGTACGAGGTAAGGTCTTGCAACTGAACTGTAGTGCGAAGATATTAATTGGTGGCGATTTCGAATATGGGAAAACGCACGAGGATTCCAACCCTGGATAGATAAGAGAACATCAGGCACCTCCACGACCGCGCCCTTTGTTCGTCGATGCTCATTAGACTTCTTGGACTTGCCTTTCCGCTTGGCCATCTTGCCTTTCTCTGCATCACTATCATCCTCATCCTCATCTCAGGCCCAACTCAGCTTCATACATCTCACTAAGATGAATCCTCAAATATGGACCCACCAGGGCGCGTAACTGACTTGCAGACAGCGATTTGAGGTCAAAATCAGGGCCAGGGGGCGGAACTCCAGGCGGGCCAGTCATGGATGCATAACCTTGTCGAGTACAGGACAGTCGAGCATTGTCATCCATCTACTATTGGAAGTCTTTAGCGCATGACCGGCTTCAGCTATTAAAAATGTGAGTACAATGGCAGTATGATCAGGTGAGAGATATTAACCGAATGCTTCGCTGATCACCACGGGTGCAACCATGCGATTTCTATCCCTGTCGGATTTACCATTGCGTAGAAGCGAAGCATTGGCGACCAGGGGCAGGCGGCGGAAGAAAATTGATATTCTTGCCTCCTGCTTGCGCAGCCTCTAAATCCTTGTACCTGTAGTATGTTAGCATGACGTAGCCTTTAATTAAAAACAAAACGCACTTAAGGATTGTCGTGATCTCATCTATCATATGCTTGGCATCAACTCGTTGAGCGTCAATGAGGGCCTTTACAATATCTGACCCCGCAAAAAAGCCGGAGGCCTGGCGGCCAGACTCCTCATCTCCTGGATAAATCACAATGCCAGCGACATGAATTCCGTATGTACGGTGCCAGTACAAAGCCTTCAGAAGGTCGCGTTATCAATAAAGGTTAGTTACCAGTAAACGTTAGTCACCAAAACAGCACTCACCGATTTTCGCAAACATTTCACGGACTGCCATCATAAGACTGCATGACTCTCGAGAGGATAGATCGTCAGGAGTGGCAATCGCATGATCAAAATGCTCTCGGATTTGTTTCCAGAGAGCCGCGTTCTTAGGGTCCTTGTGTGAGTGGGCATGATAATGCTCAGCCTGCTTGGCTTTCCATGCCTGCAAGCTCGCTGAAAGGGTATGAACATAGATCGGAACAACCTTCAAGCGCAATAACATACCTGCTTTGGATGGGTGCAGCACAGTTTTAAACCAGGCCTGATGCTGGTTCCAAATGGACTCCTTGCGAGTTGCTTTCCTAGCTAATCCTGCCTCCGTCAGAATAACCTGCCGATGTTTCCCAAACTGTTTGCCAATTTCGGTCGCTTCCTCCTGGACCCTCTTCCCAAAATCATGCACTGCCAGAATAGCTTCCTTAGATAGTCTGCCCGCTTTGCACGTGGTCTCGTTCCCCGTCTTCAAGCTTGTCTTCTTCAGTCGCAACCCTCGGAATCATCATCATTGTCGTCTGCCTCTGCATCTGCCACTGCTTTACCCTTCTGATGTCCCTCTGTAGACGGGCTGGGGGACCTCATGGGATTCACATGGCGCTCTGCTTTCTTTCGCTGCTCTTCTGTTGCAGCCCAGTCGCTATCAGAGCCAGAGCTCTCTACGGATTTCCCCTCGTCAGAAGGTAAGTATGACTTCCAGGCACCGGATCTGCGCGGGCGATGGGCTATCGATGTTACCAAACACATGAGCGGTGTACTACCAAATGTATAGTGAAACCTACCTGCAGTATTCTCCCTTTCGTTTGTTTTGATCACGCTGTGAGCGTTGGATGGAGCTTTTATAAATTATGTTAGTGTATGTACTATGAATTGGATGAAGAAACTTACATGCATTGATCCTCCTTTCATTAACCGCTGCATGACCATCGGGTTCATTCAAGGACAGGAACTGTCGTATGACATGTTTGGTCATTTCACTTAAAAAAAAATGTAACACGAAACCTACCTGCAACATTGACCCCGTTGTTCGTTGCTACGTTGCTGCCAGTGCTCACCGTCGGACTGAGCTGTGATAAATATATTAGCAGTGTACCATGAGATGTTTGAATAAAATCACCCGCAGTCTCATCTTGTTCATTTGTCGCTGCAGGATTGCCAGACTCACTGTCGGACGGAGCTATAATGGAATATGTTAATTGTGTACCATAAACGATGTAACAAAACTTACCGGCTGTTGTCTCCCTTTCGTTCAGTCGCTGCAGGACTACAATATTCACCATTGGATGGACCTGCAATACGTATTAATTATTTACAACCAAATGACATGAATGGTGGAACTTATGTTGGGTTTGATTTTTGTTGCCTGTTACTAAAACACCGTCAATGCCAGAGACTATTTTGCAGATGGGTAAACAATACCTGTACCCGTGTCACTCTCATTGCGGAGAACAGCACTGTAATCCCTGAGAGAAGCTGAGGGACCAGAGTTATTCAAAGTTGAGGACCAAAGAGAAAACAAACCTTCAACTTGCTGTGTATCATTATCTGTGTCCTCTGCAGAATCATCAGCAGTAGTCAGAAGGTGGTAAGTGAACTTACCGTCAGGGTCGGGTAACTGGGCCTCGGGATCCTCACTTGCATCATTGGACTTGTTCCTGACGAATGAGCGCCTGGCAAAATTGGAAAAGAAAATTTCTTCCTCAGCAGATGATGTCAAAGGGTCGGAACGTTCGGACCTTGGAAGGGGACGAGCCTTAGGCCAAGGGCGAGGTACCTAACAACGAGTCAGTAGATGGCAAAATGACTGCTATAAGCTTACATTGGCGTTGGCCGACTTTGGACCAGGGCGGGAACGTGCTTCGTTGCCATCCTCTGACGTATGGGTAGAAACCTGGTCAGCTCGAAGTGGGGCTTTTGACCAGCGTCCAGAGTGGGTAGTAAGAGGCATATTTGAAACTGTTCTTCATAGTCACGAAGATACGAAGAAGGTATGATATCTTGAAAGAAACACGAAGTTTCTCCACAATTTTATTGCACCAATGCAAAGTCAGGTAAGGATATGCGGAAGAGAAATTCAGATTGTAAGAGCAAGTAAAAAAAAACTAGAAATTGAGAGGGTACCTACAGATCGGATAGCATTATATATACAATCACAAGACCCTAAGGCGGTTAGTGGGTTTTGGATTGCCAAGGAAGGATTCTATTCGCTTGACAGCCAAACAAAGTGGGCGCCACGGATTGTGCAGGATACATGACAGTAACGAAATGGAGCCAAGAGGTTGGTAAGAAGATCTGTGATAACAATGAACATTAGAACCTACTCTAGAACATGCAGTAGATCAGCCAATCACGCTACAAGCTAATAGATCTGCATTGAAGTACTGAATCCCTACAGTAGAACAAGCAGGTAGACTGACCATTCTGATACAATGAAACTCTGATTCAAAGGTTCCTGATAGATAGTAAGCTACATGAGGGAGTACCAGGGATAGAGAAACAAACTGACCGATGACACCGAAAACTGAATGGTGCTGGTCATGGATTGGAATGAACGGGAAGATAGTAAGCCACATGAAGAAGTATCAGGGATCGAGTGAACGCATTGAGGGATAGAGAACCAAACTGACCGATGAAATCGAAAATCGAAGGTTGCGTGAGTCCCCAAAACGACACGAAGGAAAATCAGTAGTAGATAAAACACATAAATTGTGCACTCAACTGAAGGAGACTGGGCATCGCACCAGCAAGTGAGGCATGAGGCAAATGAGACCTGAAAAGACATTAAGGAAAGTCAGAAGAGGAGTAGAGGAAGAGAAATAAGTGCGCACTCAACTGAGAGGCTCGATGCTGAAGGTCCAAGCAAGACCTGAGCGGATAGAAAATATAGGGCACTCCCGCAGAGGATCTTCAACCCTACTGGTGCAGCAGCGGGTGAGCAGCCAGGGCGATCCTCCAGACACGCAGTCTAGGAGTGATTGATCAAAGACACGAAGTCAATGGATCAGGATGTGAATGGCATGAAGCCAATTCAAAATAGGATGGAACCAGGAAATCCAGGTGGAACATTTGTTGGGGCGAAGGATAAGGGCGGTAGGATGATGGATGGAGGACAATGGAGACGACAATGGACAATGGACAATGGACAATGGACAATGGACAATGGACAATGGACAATGGACAATGGACAATGGACAATGGACAATGGACAATGGACAATGGACAATGGAGACGATGGACGAGGGAGATTAAGTAAGTGCAAAGGTATGGGACTTTCCCACAATCAAACTTGTAACTCACATTTAGTCGGAACTTCATTTGGGATTTTCCCACTTGATGATATTTCTCTTTTGCTACTAACTACTGTCGCTGATCCTCTCTCTTCACTCATCCCCGTGTTTCTATTGTCCCCCCAGGATATCACTTGACTCCGGCCTGTATCCATCCGAACTGGCTTCGTGCCGTTCATTTTAATTGATCAGTTGACTGCGCGTCGCTGGTCTAACACTCCTAGACTACGTGTCTGGAGGATTGCCCTGGCTGCCCACCCGCTGTTGCACCAGTAGGGTTGAAGATCCTCCGCGGGAGTGCTTTGCAACTGGATCTTATCTGCACCGCTCGTCCTTCAAGTTTCTTTTTGACGTCTTCATTGAGCGTCTCACAGCCAGTGAGGTATTCACTTGTCTTTCATTTACTTTTTACTGATTTCCTCTTACATCCTTATCCTGGCGTTATTGCTCTCTTCCTGGTCAGCGACTCGAACTCCCACGATTTTACTCCGCAACTGACACAAGGTATGTCTACTTTTTCGCTTGTTTGTTGCGTTGTGCAGTGAAGACTTGTAGTACACATCATGCCCAACGCCCTGACACTATTCATGTTACAGGGATCTGTAACACCTACTAGAGCCCCAGCTCTCCCTACGCCTGCCCCCGCTCTGCCAGACTCCCCGCGCGGCTGTGCACCGCCCGCGCCTAGAAAGACAGTGGTCTGGACCGCTGTGACCCCGCCCCTGGCGCTATGACCCCGCCCCTGGCCTAGACGGCCTTGTACCTGATCCATGGAGGCTGTACGCCTCATGGACACCCTAGATCAGCGCATGTATACCACATGTCGCTTCATGAAGATCCGGAGCGCGCTTGGCGCTTCCTGTACCTATGCGCAGCTGCCCTTGGCGCAGCATGCTTGATCAAAGGTTAAGCCTCATGTATCTTATCTGAACCTCATGTCTGGCTATCATAGATTTACGATATACTATTGATTACAGACTGAGCTAGAATACTTGTAGTACTTCCCTATAAGTAGACACAGATTATTGTACTTAAACTTTACTTTAATCTACTAGGTTCATCCCCAGAACTTGCTCATCTAAGCCTTAACCAGCTTCCTTGTGTGAGACCGCACTTCTAAATCGCCCCCATACGACTTAGCACATATCCGCTAGCCCTGCATCTCGACGAGCGCCGTCTTACCGAGATCGCCGGAGGAATCCTTGACGTTCCGTCAAGGCCAGACCATGCTCAGCTTCAGTAGACTCACTCAAGTCGTCGCTGAGAAGACCCATCCTAGTTCGCACACGCCAACCAACGGTCAGCGTAACAATTCAAAGCGAATACCGCCCTCCCAGACAGTATGTGTGTCTCCATCTGTCTTTCATGTGCTAACACCAAAGTTTTGAACAGCTTGGTTACAAGCTTTCGACGCTCGTGCCGTTGCCGTGCAGGGCAATCTTGTCATCACGACTCCCAACATGCACTTCGTTCCGGAATTCCGTCACTTCGACGATGAAATCTTACAAGCGCGCGCAGATGGTCGCTTTGGCGTTATCGATTGTTTCCAATGGCCTCAGGCTTACGACGATACATTTTGCTATGCCACTTGCATACCTCGAAAGGAGGCCTTTCCGTCTCCTCACCCACTTCATTGGGCCTGGTTCACCCCTACCCAGAATGATCTTAAGTCCATTCCTGGGAATTCGTTTCCTGTGGGCACACTGGCGTCAGATAAGGTCGAAGGCTTGCAATCCCTCTTCAAGCTGGCGGAACAACGACTCCGTGAGTATAGACAGGCTCAGCCAGACAGAGGCCAAGTCATATATGGCCGCCTTTTGTCCCTCCGACATGCCGTCGCACGCTTGAAGTCACATCCCCTCACATTTCATGATCTTCTCATTTTCGTCACCGATGCTCAGCGTCTCTTTCTCGATATTTACTCTTACATCGACTGGGTACTTATAGCTCAACCTCTCACGACTTCAGGCCTTCGTCATGCTATTCAGGGCGATTGGATGGGCACTTTTGTGCAGAGTAGCGACGTCTGCGAGAAGTTATTCTGCACTGGTGTCCCCGTTTGGTATGTTCGCGCAAGCGCATACATCCCCCCGAACATGAAGGTTGTCGAATCAGTTTTACTTACCCGACCAGATCACATCATCATTGGCATGTACGCGGAGGGCAGTAAAGTTCGCCCATTCGAAGTGATATACCGCGGTCCTGGTGGTCATAGTCGTCATGTGCACGTTCGCCGCCTATACGCAGGTACAACGCACCTAGACCCCAAGGCAGCCAACCCTCAACCATCGTCCAGCTTGAATTCCGATCCTAAAGGATCTAGTCATGGCAAGGCGCCATCTCGACAGAAGAGTAAGCCAAAGCACCAGCCATGTAAGCGCCTCTTTCTTTTGTGCACGTTGGATACTCACCATTTTAGACTCCATTGAAGCTCGCCCTGCACGTCCTGCTCAGTCAGGCGAATCCAGGGACAAGTGGCGAGACCCTGACACTCCTTACCTTCCGCCGCCGAACCTGCATTGGGAAGCAGCGATGAAAATTGCAATTAGGGACCAGTCGCGCGTTCACACGCCCTACGTTATCGATCGGGGGTATAGATTCCCTGAGCCTGCTCTTCTTATCGGCCCCAAACTGCCTGAACGTCTGCAGATATATCTTGCCAATTGGCTTGTATCTTGTGCGCTGTGGGTAGGCCGAGTCGACCACGATCCTCCATGCACTTATCCCACTCCTCAACTCTGGCGCGACTTCCTTGGTAGTGTGCCTTCTGCCCAGCCACAATCTCATCAGGAGAAAGCTCCTGACAGAAAGAGTCTTACGGCCACCAAGAAGCGGAAGCAGGTGATGCGGGAGTTGTTCGGCGATGATGTGCTAGAATCTCAGGGCGATGTATTTTCGCCAGATGGAGTTGTTGAATTTCGGGGTGAAGAAATATCCATCGGCAGTGTTACTAATCCTTCCGCACTTCTAGCCCAGAAGGTCACATGGGAGCTGTTCGAACTCGGCTTTTGATATGAGTTGAGGGATCTTGATTGTCACTTGGCGCAGAGAGAATGGAAGGAAGATCCAGCTGGTCGTGAGCAACTCCTCCATGGCATCTTCCCGGGCGACACTGGTCTAGTGATGTGGTCAGAGCCATTTCCATCAGAACATTACGGGTTGTGGGATAACACCCTGAAGGGCTGTCTTCCTTATGTGGAGAATTTTCGCCGACTGCTTTGCGATTGGGATGGCGTGCCGCCTCTTCTTATGACCCCGCTAACATCAGACAACTTCACAGATACAAAGTCTTGGGAAGTCAAGCGTGTGGCCACGGCATTTTACGTCCAAGCATTTTTTGATCATTTCGGCAGGCCTCCCATCGTACCCCATTCACTTCCCATGCAATCATGATTCCATATTTGTCCTAGCGTATTTTCTGTTGTTCGTTTTCGTTACCTTACAATGCAATTGATGCTGTTGTGTTCCTTCTAGTAGTGCGTTCCGTTATGCGGCTGTGTATCGTTACCATCAGTGGACTATGATCTTACTCCGGCATTACGATCTGTATGATTGATTTTCTTGTTTTTGGATTTATGGCTTCATGAGATCAAGATACGTATTCACTGCGTGCATGTTTCAGACATTGAGCCAGAGACTCATCATGATGGCGGGGCGGTGAGTTCACTTTGTGTTCTATGCTATGACAACAAGGCTCATGCTTTCTTCTGGAACAACTTGGTATAACCACGGGAGGATTCAAATAACAAATGATTTGCACTACCGCACATAAGTTACGTGATTCCTCAGCCCAATGCGATTGTTTTGATTTTTCACTAGCGATTTTACTTTGTCCATCAACCTCCGCCACCACTGGTCACTATAATCAAACTTCCCCAGACTGCGCGTCCGTGGGCTGAGTTTCCCTGGTTGACTTCGTGTCACAGTTTCCTGCCTTGTTGACTTCGAGTCTTGAGGTATTACGCAATGGAAGTCCGCCGTCCAAAACCTCGACGTCGTAAGGCAACAACCCACCATTCATCACCTCCATCAATATATCAGCCGACTACTAGCATTTGCGAACCTCGGATGCTCAATAGATGGAAACGTCCCCGCGAGACAATGAAACTCGACCTCTATCTTCCTGGCCCACCACCCATCTTAGTTCTGCCAGGACGACAATGTCTAGCACAGCAAAGGCTATGTCGTTCATCATCCATATGTAGGACGGAACCCGGACAGATGGATGATGGACCTGTGTTTCCCTTCAGTGACTCAATACATTTTTCTAATGACGCTGGTCCCCATCGTCTCACCAGCTCCCAGAAAAGGGCTAATCAATGGCGCCGATGGTCTGAAGATGTAATTCCGCGCATGATAGTGCCCTATCTATCACACATTCAAGAGACTGTATCGCTACATCATGCCAACATGCCAGCAATACGTCATCGGACTGATGGAGAGTGCAGAACTGGGTGCAGAACTCGTAGCATCAAAGTTGCATGCGTGTTTTTTGACAGTATGTTATCATATTTTTCTCTTCTAACTTTAATCTGATGTACATTACAGCTTTCGAGGAAATCACCATCATCGCCTGCCCTTGTTCGCCTGCCCTGCTTCAGCTTCTTCGTTGCGGGTTTTTTCCATGTGCGCCCGTGGCACCCTCCCTGGCAGTCGACTTACGACTTCTCGAGTTCGTCCACCTTCTTTTTCTTCGTCAGTCCCCCAACCAAATGACATGGTGTGATGCACTGGAGACCTTTCTGGATGGAATGAAATATAAGTTGAGGCTGAAGGTGAAAAAATTCTGATCTCATTGTTGCATATCCATGCTTAACCTTCCTACAGAATAGCTTACAGCGTCGCTTCAGCAATGTGTTCCACTGGTACCAGGTCTTGACTGTATTGGCTCAGGACCACATTTCTACACTCGTCGTTGGTTCCCGGAAAGATGGTGCTCCTGTGGACCAACCTAGTGATTATCTCCGCTCGTGGTGCCCACTCTGTTTTGGAGGGAACAATTGGCGAAACGGAACAAGAGATTCTCTTCCTATGTGCGTTATTTCTTACTATGCTACCACATCAATTAATCATTTGTAGGCCAGATGTTATCGTTTGCATTGACACGTGCTTTACACAGAAACGCTCTGCAAATCCTCGCGGTGCTACTGGCAGTGATCCTCCTAACCCGACACCATCCTTCTTTCTACCGACGGATGATGTAAAAGCAATGGAAGATTTTGTTGAAAGGTGTCGTGGAGACAGACAGCAAGCAAGGACCTCGAGGGTTGAACCTGATGAAGATAGCTATGAGGAGGGCATGCACATACCAGTATCTGTCTTGAACGGATGTGGCGACTCCTTCATTGCTGCAGACGAAAAGCGGGAGAAGGCAAGTACTCGTTTCTTTACTGATACTGGCCTCATGGCACTGGTTTGTAGACATGACCGTGTCCTATGGATTGCGAACCTGATGTCTGCAGGAGAAAAGCAACATTATGCGCTTGCTCTCTTGGACCGGTTGTTCAAACATATACCTACTCAGATGACCATCGGGCTTTTGTACAACATCGGATGCCAGCTCGAACAGAGCTGTCGCAAGTGGAATTTCTTGGATGATTCTACTCTATCTCGCATCACATTTGCTGTTGCTGTGTTCCATGCGTATGGTCACCAGTGGCCGTGTCAGATCGTCTACCACCCTAGGAAGCGAGAGGGATTCGGCTTGTCTGATGGTGAGGGATGCGAATGATTATGGAGTTTCCTCAAGCCTCTCATCCCTTCCCTGCGTGTTTCAGGGGTACGTATGCTCTTTTCTAATCAGTCTATTAATCTCACTCTTCGGCACAGTCTAATCAGCAACTATTCGTCCTCAATACTCAAATTCGCCACTTAGACTCGAAATCATTGCAAGGATTTGGACACTGGCTCCATCGGTGTTGGATCCACTGTCAATCAAAGAAGAATGATGCGCTGGACCGTTTACATGAGTTGGAGTTGGACGAGAATATGCTCCGTGTAGAGTGGAAGGCCCAGGTTGATCACCAGACTGCGACCCACACCGCGTATGTAAATATCTAAGTGTGCCTACTGCTTAACTGAACGTACATGTAGGACAATCTAAAAATAAGGCAGCAGAGGTGATCACCATTATCCTAGCACTAGAGAAGACACTACAAACTCAGGAGGCCTCCATACGTGAACTCGAGATGCAACTCCATGCTGTCCAGTGTCCCTAACATTGGGGAAGTCAATCTGCAGCTTGTAGATGCTCGGTCCCGGTATAAAAAAACCGCTGACACTCTCCGACGTCGTCGAGCGGCACTTGGAACAGAAGACAAAGTCAACCTGGAGAAGATGAAGAAGGATATATACCTTACAGTTCGCTTGAATGCTCGCAGTAATCAAAACTTGCATACGTGATCGCCTTCGTCAGCGAAAATTTGAATTGGAGAGACTTGAGAGATCGTACAGAGCCACAGTCAATGGTGCATTGATAGGTTTTATTACACTGATACATCTCATAATTTTCCAGCTGAGCGTAAACTTCATGCGAATACGCAACACTCAATCAAACGCTGAGAGCCTGGCATCCTCAAATTAATCACTACCTACAACTGGTCTGTGTTCGCAACTACGGTCTCTTATTCAACAGCGGCGAAGCACCTCCTTATGCTGTTCCCCCTCATATCATCCCGCGTGATGGCATCTTTCAGCTCGACGTTGATGACGACATCTGGCAAGATGTTGGGCTGGATGACGACACTCTGCACCCTCCAGCGTGGCTATCGGATGACAAGGTCAGGAATGGTATCCGGTTGCAACTTGAAGTTGACCGGTGCAATGAGGAGGAGGCTCGACTGATGCGGGAGAGGGCCGTCCTTCAAGAATGGATGTTAGCGGAGTGGGACAGTATGCAAACTGCCTTGAATAAAGCAGGTGCGTCAGTGTGCAAATGTTATGAACAGTATCTAATTATTTCACAGTCGCAGATCCAGTGATGTCTTTCCACCTTGGGTCTCGCGCAGATGAACTTGTCAACATCTGCGTCATCTGGAGGAAAAAGGTTCAGTGTATTCCGTGCGCGTGGCCTATGACTGCGAGTTGGGGACCCTCAGACGAGGCTTTGGTTCAAGCCGCTTTTAGTCAGGCACGATCGTCGTTTCGGGATGAGGATGATGACGACGAGAGTTTGGAAGGAGATAGGAGAGGGTGATGGAGAGAGTGAGCTGGAGTATGGCGAAATTGAAGATGAGGAACTGATGGATGCTATTGAGGAGATTGCATTGGCGGATGAATATAGGTATGGACCAGAATAAGTCGCTCGTGGATGACCTGGATGACCTGGATGACATTGATAATGACTTCATGCCTTCTTCCCCTACAAAATCGTTACACAAGCGGCGCAACATGTAGAATGCAGTGAATTTTCAATATAATATTTTCTGTAATATCCTATTTTTTATATATTTTCTGTCACATGCCATATTTGCGATCCAAAGGTGCGCATGGCCGTTGTATGGGCGCACTGCAACACCAAGATGGTCTGTGAGACTGACGAGCCCAAGGAAGATGGTGCTGAAAGAGATGCAGATGAGCCCAAGAAAGGTCATGGTGGATGTGGTCATATACAACTGGCCATTAGGAAAGAAGGACTGAAGCTTTTCGTCCAATACAAGAGACCCAAAGATGAGGGTGAGGATGTGAAATCTCTGGGAAAGTGAAAAGGTGTATGATAAGGGGGTGGGATGGGTTATCTTGTCTCTGTAACTGGTATGTCACACTATCTTATATGGTCTCATGCGCACTGCAAGACCAAGATGGTCTGTGAGACTGACGAGCCCAAGGAAGATGGTGCTGAAGGAGATGCGGATGAGCCCAAGAAAGGTCATGGTGGATGTGGTCATGTACAACTGGCCATTAGGAAAGAAGGACTGAAGCTTTTCGTCCAATACAAGAGACCCAAAGATGAGGGTGAGGATGTGAAATCAATGCAGCCTGACAAGCAGCTGATTACACCGTCTTCGGAGGTTTATACAATGTTCAAGAAGATGTCAGACTCCGACCTTCATCTAATAGGTCTTTCAGATGAGTATGCTCATCCTGAGTGGATGATTCTCACCATTATGCCTGTCCCGCCTCCACCTGTCCGTCCCAGTATAGCAGTTGATGCCAGATGGTGGTGCTATGCAGAGTGAATATGACTTGATGTACAAGCTTGGTGAGATTATCAAGGTGTCTGCACATATATGGCGGAATATGATATTTGTTAACCCACATGTGCATATGACAGACAGAAAGAACTCACATACCATTTTGTGCAATTCATCAATTTTTTCTTGGTGGGGGTACTGGACTGACATCATAGATTCATACTGTACAGCATTCCAATCCTCATCAATTTTTTCTTGGTGGGGGTACTGGACCAACATCATAGATTCGTACCGTACAGCAGTCCAATCATCATCAATTATTTCTTGGAAGGGAAACTGACTGACATCATAGATTCGTACCATACAGCATTCTGATCATCATCTATTTTTCTTGGCGGGGGTGCTGGACTGACATAGGGAGGGGGGGCTGATCTGGGAAAGTGAAAATGTGTAAAATAAGGGGCATTTTGCGCAATTCGTCAATTTTTTCTTGGCGGGGTACTGGACCAACATCATAGATTCGTACTGTACAGCATTCTGATCATGTTGTTGCGGTCCACCCTATATTATATATGGTCTGCCCTAGTTAGTCTATCATGTTGTTGTGGTCCGCCCTACATGAAATATGGTCCACCCTATGTAGGCTATATTGTCTTTGTGGTCCGCCCTATGTGACATATGGTCCTCCCTAATTAGTCTATAGTGGTGTTGCGATCCGCCCTATGTAGGCTATAATGTCTTTGCGGTCTGCCCTATGGGACATATGGTCCTCCCTGATTAGTCTATAGTGGTGTTGCGGTCCGCCCTATGTAGGCTATAATGTCTTTGCGGTCTGCCCTGTGGGACATATGGCCCTCCCTAATTACTCTACAATGGTGTTGTGGCCTGCCCTATCTGATATATGGTCCGCCCTAGTTGGTCTATACTGTTGGTGTGGTCCACCCTATATGGTCCACCCTACATAGGTCATGATGTCTTTGTGGTCTCCCCTACATGACATACGGTTCTCCCAAAGTAGTCTATATCCTTGTCAATGTTGTTTTCTACCATGGGATCATGACTAAAGATACTACTGGTAAACCTGGCATCCAGGCGAAGGTAACTAGGATGGGCGAAATCACCTAGGCAAAGGTAAGGTGGGAGTCACAAGTACCATGGTTCACAACGAAGGTAATGATTGTGCAATATTTTAAAACACTAGGTGACCACTACCAAGGTCCAAGGTAGGAAGCATCCTAGCTATCAACTCTGGAGCTCTTTTTTATTGTACCACGTAAAACTCCAGAATGTACAGGTGAAGTCAGTAGCAAGTGTAGGTGCATGGGGATATGCATCTGTAAAAATTCAGTCAGTGTACCTGCAGTGAAAGCATGTAACAACCATACCACATTATTATGTACCAATCGACAGGACCTGTGTGGACATAGGGCTTAAACTAGTCAAAGAGGCTCAGCTGAGTGACAGATAAGAAAGGTAGGTCCAGGTATGCCGGTAACACATAGACAAATATGGTAATGCAATCATACAAGCCTAGTGCAGGCTTGATTGTCACAGTGTATCCTTTGTATTGTTAGTGCGAGAAGATTGGTTGAATTATAGTAGAACTAAACAGATATGACCACAAATACTACCAGACTTCAGAATGAACAGTGTCTTCCTAGCAAGACACTAAATTGAGCAATATACAATTGCATTCACAATTTCAGCCATTATATGATTCTATATGGTAGATATAACACAAACATTCATGGTAGTTCAATGCTATTCACCATCAGAATCAACAGAAAATTATCGCAAAAAATGAAAATCTAGGTGGTTTGTGACCCCAGACACTCCGGTATATCTGGGAAAATCCATTAGATATATGGTCCAAAATACCCTGTGGTACGTGCCATGACATGGTCCCAATGGTCTATGGTCCATGGGCAGTACATCCTCTTTTGGTCCACAAAAATCATAGGGAAGGACCGTGGAATGTTGGAGAGACCAGCAGAAACATACCTCTTAGGTACAAATCTCTATAGACAACAATCAACCTAAGAGGTA